AGATTTACTCACCATGCCACGAAGAAGAGTGGTAAGAGTACGGTTGGTTACCTCTGTTTGGCCATCGGCTTGAGGATGACAAGCAGTGCTGAATAAGAGTTTGGTACCAAGCATTCTCCATAGTGTCTTCCAGAAGTAGCTTAAGAACTTGGAATCACGATCCGACACAATGGTCTTTGGTACTCCATGGAGACGAATAATCTCTTTGAAATATAAGTCAACAACATGAGATGCATCATCGGTTTTGTGACATGGCACAAAATGAGCCATTTTAGAAAACCGATCGACAACCACCATGATGGCATCTTTTCCCCTTTGAGTTCTCGGTAGAGCCACAATGAAATCCATGCTAACATCTTCCCAGGGCTGCAATGGAACCGGGAGTGGAGTATACAACCCTTGATGGAAATGACTTTTTGCTCTTTGACAAGTTGCACAGCTCGAGATAATAGCATGCACATCTCCATTTAAGCAAACGCTGCACTATTTTATCATCGATGCGTTTATAAAAACAAATAACTTATCAAATTCGAAAAGCTATCAAGATTTTCAGACTAATTTACACAAAAAGGGAAACATTTTTAAGTGCTTGGTGAGAACTTTATAGCACAATAAAATATATGGTAAATTGCAAATAAGAGCTTAAAGTGCCATCATTTTCTCAAATAAAGACCTACAATTGACTTTGTGTCAAATAAGGACTTGAAGTGACATGTCAGTCTCAAATGAGGGCATAAAGTGGCTATGTCAGTCCCAAATAAGGGCCTAATCTCGCCGGTCGCTGACTGGCAAAATATTCCAATCGATCAAGAGCATTTTCATCCAAAAATCCTTTTCATTGTAAATATTTTTTATTTTTTTTATTTCTTTTCTTTTTCTTTCTTTTCTTTCTTCGTTTTTTTAGTTTTCCCTTGTTATTCGCCATTGGCCGGTTGGCCACCGGCGAAGCACAACCAGAAAACAAAAAAGGAAAAGGAAAGAAGAAAAGAAAGGACAAAAGATAAAAAAAAAAAGAAAGAAAGTAAAAAGACAAAAATGCTCTTGCCATCTAATAAGTCATGCTCTTTTTTGAAATAAATATAGTCGCTTCATGCCCTTATTGAAATAAAATCCACTTCAGACCCTTATTTGATACAAAGTTCACTTCACATCCTTATTTGAGAATATGAATGCATTTCATGTCCTTATTTGAAATTTTTTGTAAAATATATATGGTAAATTACAAAGTTATTGCCATTTTTATGGCTCTCTTTTTTCAAGAGACAAGAGGGTCTACTGAACCCACCTGCTGTAGAAAAAAGAAAACATGTTGTGGACTGTCGTAGAAGCAAAGCATCCGTCTCTATTGACTGCGCGTGGCCGACATTGAAATTCGTACTTGTGACCTAACCGAGATGAGAATATCCCCAAACAATGATTAGGTGCATTGATTCTAGTGTGCTGAAAAAGCCAAAAAAAAGGGGTTGATTTCATTTTTTTTGGTCGAAAGGTTAATTTCATTAAGAATCCTAGAAAAAGGATTAATTCATCTTCAAATTAATTTTTATTTCACGGAAAATATCTCAAACCGGTATCCTAATAACACAATTGTCATTCCATAAGAAAACCCAAACAGCTATCTATGACACATTTATCCAAAATTTCCGTTTAAAAAAACAACGAACCAGTGCTCAATGCCCTACCTAAATCTACATTCCGTTTGCATTCAATCCAATGTCCCGTACGTGTCAATGATAGATCCGATGTGGAAAATTCTCATGTGTTTACACGCGTACATCTTAATGGAAGGTAATTTTCAGTTTGGGGTACCGGTTTGGGATTCTTGTGAGACGAAAATTAGTTTAGAGTAAATGTATCATGGGTAAAATTTTGAGATTTTTCGTTAGACTCGAATTAATTTAGGTTAAATACATCATGGATGTAACAATTTTGAGATTTTTGTGAGAGAAAATTAGCTTGGGATAAACACAATACGGGGTATCAATTTGAGATTCTTAATGGTATCAACCTAGAAAGAAAAGATGTTAGTCGCATACAATCAATTATTCGCACTCTCATTCGAAAAATTAATACTCGATTAGTGTGGATCACTTTTTTTACGACTATGACCTACCTTTATTTAAACATAATAAACATCGAGAAGAAATATCTGTTTTTGCAACCCTTTTTTCAATTCTACTGCCAGCTAAACTTATGTTACTATTTCATTGAATGTCACATGATTAAGGTCATCGTAGTTGTTGTCAAACGATATATATAATGAAATTATCTCATCGGTCGGTCCTTTTAAGGCACGTCACTTTAACATATAACTATTTCTTGAAAGGGTCCATTTGAAAGTTAGCTAGATGGTCCGACTTGATTGGAGAATGCTAGTTGAATCGAACCTAAATTTTTCAGTGGACAGTCGATATTTTCTAATTTAGCACGTGGAACCACATTTTCATCGACTCATGGGACACTATTGTCTGTCCTGTTGCCCGTGTCAATCGGTCTTTTTCGTGGTAAATATAATAATCCACATGACATATCATGTGGGTTTTGTCAAATTTGGAATAAAATAAATAGATACTTGCTAAGATATAGATGGTATGATTGCATGCAAATGATTTCATTTAAATTAGTTTAAGTGGGTTTTGTCAAATTTGGAATAAAATAAAGAAATACTTCCTAAGGTATGGTTGGTATGATTGCATGCAAATGACTTCATTTATATTGGTTTAGATGGGTTTGTGCTTCACGTGGCATAAGTCCAAATCCAGAAAAAAATAATAGGAGAAAAAAGGGGGACTGAAAGATTAGAGTAAATAAGCAATTATTGAGATCAAAGCTTTAATTAATGAAATTATATAGTTGGTAATTAGTATAGTTGATAGTATATGCCATAGGCCCAATACACTAAAAAACTCACCCCCCCAACTTTAACTGCAGTCTCAATTGTACCATAAACTTTTTTTTATCTCATAAAAAATTCTCAACTTTTGGTTCAGTCCCAATTCTATCCTAAACTTTTTTATCTCATAAAAAACCATCAACTTTTACTTGAGTCCTAAATCTGTCCCGTTAACCGTCCGTTCAAAATCGCTCTTAGTGACGTGACATTTCTACGTCATTGTTATAGTTTTTCCCAAAATTTTAGATCCAAAACGACATCATTTAGAGATGAATTTCCACGTCAGCCCAAACAACGTCTTCTTCGATCTGAAATTTGGGGAAACACTAGAGCAATCGGGGATGGCATTATTCAATTGCTCTTAATTTTAAGAGAATCTTCCTTCCATTTTGCTTGAGAATTTTCGATTTTGTACGTAGCCTTTAATCTCTCGTACTCGAGAGTCTTCCATCTCTCGTAGCCGGAGGGCTCGCGCAACTTGGCTTGGGGCGCTTGAATAGCTCGTGCTCGGGAGGTTTTCATCTCTCGGCTGTCAAGAGAAATTTTGAATAGAGGGTTAATGTGACAGATTTGAGCGTTAAGTAAAAGTTTATGATTTTTTATAAGACAAAAAAAAGTTCATGGTAAATTGGGACTGGACCCAAAGTTAGAGGTTTTTTATGGGTTAAAAAAAGTTTAGGGTAGAATTGGGATTGGACTTAAAATTAAAAAAAAATTATGGACAAAAAGAAATTTAGATTAATATTAGAGCTAAAGTTAAAGTTTGGGTTTTTTTAGGGTATTAGGCCATGTCCTAACACCTTTGTTATATGCTCGGCTTGGCCCTCAATCCATTACATCCACATACAAATGAATGAACTTATTTTTTTGGGCCTCATTTTTTTTTCTTTTTTTGGCCATATAACTGTTCAACTATTTTGTATGAAAAATAGGCTATTGAAACTTGTGTGTAAGAAAAAAATCAGATCTTTGGTTTTTTTTTTATTTAAAAAAATAATAAGGTTTGGATATCTACCCCTTAATTTTGAGTTTCGTTTTGTTGCTTTCAGGGGATACATTAGACCCGACGGGCGTCCAATTTGATTACTCATGTTTGATTAGGTGCAAAAGGTTTTTATATCGTGTTCTCTATCAATATTTAGAAATCTAAATCTACTTATATGTTTAACGGTTTCCCAAAAATCATCCCGATTCAAAGTTTTTTAGAATTGTGTATATATAAATAAAATGGCTTCAACCGATGTTACAAAAAATAAACATTATAATTAAAAAACACAAAAATTAAATCATATAATAAACAAAAAAAGAAAAAAATCCAAGCCCCATTCCAAAAAAAAGGGCTAATTCCCAAAAAAACCCCAAACTTTACATTTTGTCCCAATTATACCCTGAACTTTTTTTTGTCTCAAGAAAAACCTCAAACTTTTATCCGAGTCCCAAATCCACCCTACCATTATAACTCCAGTCAATTAACGTCGAGGAAAAAAAAAAAAAAAAACCAGCACTGCGGCGTGGCCAAGCCTTCGCTAGGTGGCCGCGCCCGCCCGCCGGGAAGGAGCGGCGGCCCTCGCCGCTGGGCCTTCCCGAAGGGCGGCGACCCTCGCCGACCCGGCGAGTCGCCGCGAGGGCTGCGGCCGATCTCGGGGGAGGGCGCGACCCTCTCCCCCGGATCGGGGCGCGGTCGGCCCTCGCCCGGCGACTCGCCGCCGACTCCCGAGCCCGCGGGTGCCGACCTCGCCGGCCTTCGTAGGCCCAGCGAGGCCGCCGCTCCTTCCCGGCGGCTGTGGCGGCGGCCACCGGCGAAGGCTTGGCCACGCCGCAGCTGCTGGTCCTTTTTTTTTTTTTCTAACGTTAATTGGATGGAGTTATAATGGTAGGGTAGATTTGGGACTCGGATAAAAGTTTGAGATTTTTCTTGAGACAAAAAAAAATTCAGAATATAATTGGGATAAAAAATAAAGTTTGGGATTTTTTTGGGAATTAGGCCCCAAAAAAAATTCATAACCCTTCCTTTTGATCTCTTTTCGATGCTTAATAGTTACAACTTCCACGGCCATGACTGGCATCCATCCATCTCTGTCAGCCGTGCTGAACCTGCTCTCTCTCTAGAAGTCATCAACTACAGAGAGCGGGTCTTCGTGCGATATTTTGCTGTCGTTGGTTTACCTGCTCTCCACTCCTCTTTTCCATTTGGACGGCTCTCTCATCTCTCTCTCTCTCTCTCTGTCTCTCTGAAGCACTTGTTCATGGCTCTGTCTGCTTCTCTTTTCCTTCACATTTCGTTCCAACTTCAATGGTTTTGCTCCATCTGAGCTATCTGGGCTGCACTCTTTCCTTTCTTGGTGACAAAAGAGGCAGACCCATATTGGAGTTGTCCTTGAATTCCTCCGGATCATTGAGATTGGGAGGTGTTTCTGGAGTGATTTTCCTTCAAAGGGGTAATGCTTTGAGACGTGGGTTCTGCTTTAAAGAGTGAGTGCCGCATCACCTTGGGCTGTACAGATCTATCTGCTGGTTGTCTTGGGCGTGCGCTTTCTCCCCGCCTTTTCTTTGTAGCTGGTTGAGATATAGGAGCAAAGGGTGTGGGAATCTTTGGTTATTAGGCTGGAAAAGACTATTCTTTGCGGGCATGCGGAGACAGTCTGCTGTGCAACAGTGAGCTCAGGATGGATGTGCTTCAGTTTGCTGCTTCCAGTTCGTTCTGTGTGAATCTGAAGGTGAATCAATGAGGTGATCAAGCTTTTCAGTTACATTGTGATGCCTTGGTTCAAAGTTTATAATTTGTGGTGATAGGTGAACGGGTGGATTGGCGGATTAGTCCCTGATTTGAGCTGTCAATGGAGGAGGTACTTTCCAAGATGGTGGTGAAAAGCTAGCAGATTAAGCCACAATTGGACCACGAGTTCGACACCCGCTCTGTGTGAGCTTCTTCCCGGTAGTTTGTGACGGATTCGACTAGGGAAAACGGGGAGTGTGGCTGTTTGGCTGGTTTGGAGTGCTTTCTGAACATCATCAGGGCGCTGAAAGGGGGCTCCTGCTTGCCGGCAGAAAGCAGGAGCCCCGTCCCTGGCTCTCCGACGACAACTAGGAAATCCTCTAAGAAAGGACCTGATGAACCATTGCACAAGGTTCCGGGGAGGATGTTCTTGAACGGTTCCAGCGAGGTCGCCTCTCTGTTTACTGTTCAAGGAAAGAAAGGGACCAACCAGGATGCCATGATTGTCTGGGAGGTTTGCTCCTTCCGATTATCCTCTTAATTGACCGACTAGTACTTTAGTATCTAAGTAGTTTTGTGGAATGATTGTGCTGGATGATCTTGTTGAGTGCGTGTTAAGGAAAAGAAAATGCGTTGCTGAAGTAGCCTAGCATGTTTCTTGAATGAGCAAGCATGTTCATGATTTGCTCTGAATTCTCTTTGGAGGCCTTTTCTTTTCCAAATTATAGAGCCTCCTTCTTACTTCTTGTGTGCTCATGCATCTGCTAGGCTTGGATACTAGCGTCAAATAACCATGCTTATCAAGCAACCGAGCAAATACTCTTCTATTGGAAAATATTGCTGAGTTTCTGAAACTCTTTTTACGTAATTGTTCACATAGTGTAAAATCCTATACATCTTTGACCATAGCCTACTAAATATGTTTCAACTGATTGATTAATCCATTCTGGTTTGATCCAGTAAGTGCTTGCTCTCTGTGTCTTTTATCAGCAATTTTCTCTGAATAGAACACGTGGGAGTTGATGTTGGCGAATGCATAATAGGGCCTTCTAAATGTGTTTTACTCATTCTGGAAATTTTTTGGAATTTTAGAACTTTGGGTCCAGGACAGACACGATATTTTGTGGTGTCTTTGATGGACACGGTCCATATGGTCATTTGGTGGCAAAGAGAGTCAGGGACTCTCTTCCACTGAAAGTGCGTGCTCACTGGAGAGTCAATCTAAACAGTGAAGATGTCAGAGAGATCAGCATCATCACAACGGAAAGCATGTCTCCTGGAGAGACTGCCCTTGTATCTGCCGGTGAAGAGACAAGGACCTCCGCGGAGCTCGAGGAAACGGAAAAGCAGGTGGAGATCTTCCAAACGCTGAAAGAATCATTTTTGAAGGCTTTTAAAGTCATGGATAGAGAACTCAGAATGCAGAGGAAAATCGATTGCTTCTGCAGTGGCACTACAGCAGTTACATTAGTCAAACGGGTCTGACTTCTGAACCTTGATGTCATTGGTTGACCAATGTCCGGATCTTTTAATCCACCTATTTGATCACGAATCACTTGATTGTCAAATAGGGTCATTATGTTGTCATCGGAAATGTGGGAGACTCCAGAGCTGTCCTGGGTACACGAGATAAAGATGGTTCTCTTATTGCAGTTCAGTTGACTGTGGATCTAAAACCCAGCATTCCAGGTTGCTTTTCTTACTCTTTCTTGAAAGTAGTTCCTTAGTTGAATAAGCTGAAGATTTTGCCCCTTGTATATCGTAGGATAGAAGGGTAAGATAATAAACAAGTGCATTGAGAATCTGATTTTGGAGCACAAATACTATAAGCAGATATCAGAGCTGTTGTATCACTCATCTGTCTCTTTTATTCCCCTCACAGCGGAAGCAGAAAGGATTCGCAAATGCAGGGGGAGAGTTTTTGCACTTCAGGATGAACCAGAAGTTGCCAGGGTTTGGTTGCCAAACAATAACTCTCCTGGCCTCGCAATGGCTCGGGCTTTTGGAGATTTCTGCCTTAAAAATTTTGGTCTAATCTCTGTGCCTGATTTGTCATGTCTCTGCCTAAGTGAGAAAGATGAATTTATTGTCTTGGCTTCTGACGGGGTGAGTGACACATCTTGAATTTACAGCCTGTCATCTTCTGTATTCTGTTCCAATTTTCTTTATATCCCGGGCTTCACATTTTGTTTTTGTTTATTTTTTCATCTCATGCAGATCTGGGATGTGCTATCGAACAAGGAAGTGGTAGAAATTATAGCATCAGCCCCTGCACGTTCCTCTGCATCAAGAGCACTGGTTGAGTATGCTGTTAGAGCTTGGAGGCACAAGTACCCTTCTTCAAAAGTCGATGACTGCGCTGCTGTCTGCCTCTTCCTTGACATGAGCAACTCATCTGCTGCTTCCAGCACAAAGTCCCACAATCAGCTCGCTTCTGTGGATGATCAATCTGAGATGTTCAGCGAGAAAGATCTGCTGATCTCAAGACCCATCCAAAATGACTCGGAGATCACGACTGAAGAAAGCAATGAAGATGCGGCAAAGCTGGAAGAAATGCAGTCAGAATCAGAAACGGACTGGTCTGCCCTAGAAGGAGTGTCTCGTGTGAACACTCTAGTAAATCTTCCCAGGTTTGTGCCAGGGAGGGAGGACAAAAGGAAGGATGCTGGAGAGAAGAGCCATATGTAAAGCGCAAGGAATGTGTGCACATGTGCTTTTTGTTGACTTAAGTTTCATCTGAATAAACTCTGCAATCTTTTTTTGTTCTTTTTAGTCACAGAGATGATTACTGGGAGGTCCATGGTAGTTGTTAATTTGTTCCTGGGAGGTGGCCCGGGCTGTATTAGAATGTCTGGGGGATTTTCTCTCTCTGGTGTATACTCCACCTCAATTTTTGTAACATCCACGGTGTCAATAGTCATTCTTTGAGAATTATGTATTATAATGGTTAATATGAATGTGGTAGTGTTCATCTTAATCATTTTAAGTAGACAGGGACAGTATGCACTTACAAGACTGACTTTTTCTATTAATTTGTTTAACCCAGTGATAGAGATAGAGAGACAGAGAATTCGAACTTTGATCCTCATTGTCATTGATGAAGAAGATTTTCTTTTTTTGGTCGGACATTGTTGATGTTTAGTTTCCCAATTTCCAGCTTTCCTTCCTGCAAAAGATGCACAAACTGACCCTGATGATTCACCTCAGTTTGTCTATCATGGCTAAGCATTTTCAGTTCCTTTATCTTTCGTGCCATGTCGGTTTCATTACTATGTAATTCACATATTCATGTACCAGAAGCTATGATCTGAGGTATGCTTATGTTGACAATGTCTAGCTTTATGGCAAGATCTGAATTTGGACTTGGAGGATCTCAGAGGCAGGGCATAGCTTACAGAATTTCCTATGTTTTTTGTCTTCTGCTTGAGCTAAACCTTGCCATATTTATTTTTTCCAGGAAAAAAATCAAATTTCTACCTCTACGTCCAGCCATGCAAGTTGTGGGCCCATGTAATCTCCCTCAGAGAAATAAGTGGTCAAACAAGTACATGGCTTCCACCTTATCCGGAGTGAGAGGAGAAAGACCACAAAAACAATAGGAAGCTCTTAATCCTACCGCATACTTGTACCATTACCAGAATGGGAGGATATGACTGCTGCTGCTCTCGTCACTTCCTCTACCGCCACGGCCAGCGGAGGCCGCCTTCGCCAGAGCAGCTGCCGCAACACTTGCGTTTTTGTCTCCAAGTCACCAACTTATACCCCTCGTTCCCTTCATGACCACCACAAGTTTTTACTCAGAGGTTTGGCCACTTTAATTTCTGCGGCCTCTTCTTTCTGTAGGAGACATGCTTTCTGAGTGCTCGTTTCGGCATGCTTTCTAGAACTGTGTTTGGAATGATGTAATTCCGTTTATCACAACAAAGTAACGTGGTTCGTGATATTGACAAAACATGTATGCTCAAATTTTGAAGAAAAGCAGTGTCATTATATTGGAAACATGAACTTGCTAATTAACACTTTAACTCGACCACAACTACCTCTGCCAGTTGACAGGACACAACTGGCACCACATGTCCAAGCCATCTTCCAGTCATCCTTGCAAAGTTTCTTTCATTTCATTCGTAGCATCTATAAAACGGGGTTAAGAAATGTGATCATCGCTTATTCATAGAGAGATGGATTTGGATGGAAATTGGCAGGAGTGCTCTTTTCATATTCACCTGAATATAAAAAGCTTGTTTAGGATATAACTGGAATATGAAAGTGGAGCAGCTATATGCTGTCTTATAAGAGGAGCTACGTTTTGTTTTCAAGAACAAGAAGTGTTGATGCCTTTTATTTTATGGCGATATGCATCATGGTCGTTTTGCAGTTACCAATGATTCGTCGAGGGGGACAGAGTTGTCCCAAGATCGCAGTTTGGAAAGATTGGAGGCTGATAAAATTGTCGATGGTATGGATTTTGGTGAGCTGTGCAATGAGTTTGAGTGCATAAGTAGCCCTTTGGTGGAATCTACGGCTAGACAACTCGCCCGTGATATCTTTGAACTTCGTGAAGGCAATCGTGCCCTCGGGACATATGCTGTGTCTGTCAAATACAAGGTATCACTTTGTTCTGGCACGACCCTGTAGAGAATGTATAGAGTGTATTGTTGACTCATTGTACTCACCTATGATGATTTAGTATCTGCATATAAAAGTTAGAAGTGATCATTCATCAAATGCACATTTCGTTGCTTATTGATATTCTCATCATTTGATGGCTTATCAATCCAGACCTTCTGTCTTGGCTTCCGAATTTCTTTCTTCTCCTTGAGAGTTGACAACACCTCATCTGGAACTATTCTTTGTTGGCTCTTACTACTTCGAACTAAGCTTCTGTTGCAGGATCCAGTTAGAAGTTTCACTGGTCGTGAGAAATATAAGCGACCATTATGGGTTACTAGAGCATTGGACAATCCCTCTGTGGTAAGTTCATGTTTAAACAAGTATGCATATACATCAATTGCATTTGTTTTTGTAGTTTCTGTCTTTTTTCTTATTTTGGATGGTAAGCTTAGTAGTGCAGTAAAAGACTAGCCCCTTATGGTGAAAACCAGTAATACATTGCTTCAAAGTTGGAGTCTTGTTCCGACTCCTGACTTGATCTGGATAGACAGCGCAAGTCACGCTGATTTGTTCTGGAAGGTGCAGTGCCTATCTATGTAATATCTGCTGTGTCACTGTACTTTTACAGGCTGTCCAAGAAATGGTGATGCTGTCAACGAGTGTCTTAAGTATCAAGTGGACAATTAGAGGGAAGCCTAAATCCGCAATTTCGAGTGTGGGAGGGGACTTAATAATCAAAGTCACCTCCAAATTTACTTTGAACCAGATCAGTGGCCAAGTGATCGAGCACGAAGAAATTTGGGATTTGTCGGCATCATCACCTATTGCTCAAGCATTTTTCTGGACTTCGCGGCGTCTCTTTGCTACAGTTGAGACTGGAAAAGATTTGACAGAGTACGTCAAGAATTTCACCGGCCGCTTGTCAACTAAAAAAGAGAACATGGATATTTATCCTGATCCCTCGGGTGATCCAACCAAAGTGAGTCTGTCTGGTAAATACTGTGAAAATTAGTTGGCAATCAGATGGCTTCTCTTCCGTGGTTCAAAAATGTGTTAGCTTTGATGCATATTGTCATTAGTCATGACTTTTGAGTATGCATCACACGCATGCCATACATCATCATGTAGTATGGGACAATGGGCAGGTGTTAACGAAGGAAGGATGAAAAGACTTGCATGAGTTGAAAAGAATAGGAAAGATGCAATGTCTGTAACAATGAGTCAGTCTTAAGTTCATTCCAAGCCGTGAATTGGAACATGAAAATGCGGTAAAGGCTCCTATCTTGGGAAGACTAGGAAAATCACATATGAATCGAGACACCTCATCATCTATTTTTTATTATCGTAGTGTCTAACGCTCGTTCCTCACCGAGCAAAGCTTCTCACTTATTCTGAAAGGTGCTGCTACCGTGACTTGATTTAAGTACCGTTGTGCGGATTCTTATGATTCTTAAGCTGCCTATATCCTTGCCTTGTATTGCAAGAGTCCTCCTTTCCATCATTTCTAGTTGCAACAGGCATTTGTTTCATTCAACTACATCCCATTTCCAAGTTTCTGCATTTTTCGGTAGCTTAAACTGCAGTCCAAACATTTTGTCGGCATATCTGCGATGAAATTTGTTCAATCACCATTTTTTTCTTTCATTACCTCCCATTAACACGCGACATAATCTGTTTGATGCAGTTCTTCCAGAGGGACGCCGGCTTCCAGCAAGACCTCTACCAAATAGCACTGTTCCTGGCGGTCCTCTATTTTGTTGTACAGTTCTTGAGGACAACCTTATAGACTCTGGCTACACGCTGTGTGTAAAAGCAATTAGTTACTGTAAGTATTGTATGAGAAGTTATACCTCATGGAAGAAAACTGCAAGTCACTGCACTGGGCATACTGTTTCTGTAAAAACATTTCTGTCCCTTTTGTTTGCTTAATGGTATAGTTCCCTCCAAGTGTCCTTTAGTTACATCATGTATGATCCGATAATTGCCGACTAATTAACTCGCATATACGCATATGACCCCATAAAACTTCATGTTGTTCATTCGTAGCCAAACTTGATGAAAGTTTATATGACATTGGATTTCATCATTGTTGGCCTGGAAAATAATTGATTTTGTGCGAAGCGAATGTCAGCAACTAGACATCTTTCTTTGTTTCCAAAAAGAGGGAATTTTGGAAACATCCACAAAACATTCACTTACAAGAACAACTGTCCACATATTGTAGAACCAGAACATCCTTAACCTCTATTATATACACGGGACGGTTCTTTGACCAGAAGGCTGCTTTCTAATGTTCATTGTCGGATACGCTGGAAACTGAGACATACTTCACTACCCTTTTGACCTGAACTTGGTAAGAAGAAAACCGTGATTGTTACATAGGTCCTGGATTTCTGTAACCTATTGCTGCCAAGACTGCACCAGCTATAACTGTGAATGCATCAATATGAGATTGTCTTTGTAGAATATATTGTGAGATTTGGTGAGACCACTGCAAACTGTTCTGAAAGCTTAAGCTGTTAGATGAAGGCATGATTTAATATTTAACCTCCAACTATGACACCATGTGACATCTAGTGGGACCATTGCCAACTGCTTAAAAAACTTACACTGTTAAATGAAGACGTGATTTAATATTTAATTATTCTAACAAATCTGATACTAGATTACCGCACGACTCTTTATATTTGCATCATTCTTTTCCAACCACTAGCGAGTATGCTCAAATGCCCATATTTGGCGTGCAACTAGACTGCAATTCTCAGATAAATTAAGACAGGTTGGCAGAAAAACTCTTCACTGAATTTTGGTTTTGCTATATTACGAAGCAGATGCTAACCCAAAACAACCAAATATGAGCATCCGCCAATTCAAGAAGGCAGACCACTTCATCTAGAATGTCTTTAGGAGGCATCAATCAGAGTCTTTGGTGTAATTGCGCTGCAGAATTAGTTGCACTTAAGTAGCACATTAATTCTTTATGTTATTAAATGAATCATACCAATCCCGCCAACATCAATTAAAATATGCGCTCGACAAAAGAAAGGAAAGGAATGAATGCTGCACAAGGCTTCTTGGTTTTTTTTTATCTTACTCTCGGCCATGTTGAACAGGTTCAAATCATGCTACAACATGAAAGTGTACAGCACCCCGACTAGCAATGGCAAGACTGCTGATATTCTTAGGCTGACAAGTTTGGAACTAGAACCTATGTCATGAGCCCCAACAGCGTAAGTTGCTCCAGACTCTTCATCTTTCACTGTGATGTTCGAGGAACCTGAAATCAGATATTGCAAATACCAAAAGCATGAGCTGAAATAACAAAAAGGTTCAAATGTCTTGCGTACACTATGACGCACATTTCGCACTTCAATAATTCCAAGAGAAATAGAACGAATGTCTCTTACGCTCTAGAAATACTCTGCAAGATAAGTATTACCAACAACAATATCCATACTCTTCAACTAAAAAGATACTTGATAAACAACAAGCTGGCAGAAGATAAAATAAAGATATAATCACACTTACAATTGTAGTCAACCCAACCAATCGTCTGGTTCTCAAGATCATACAATACCAGCTTATTGGAGAGCACCAAATCTGCATGCGAAAAACGTAGGTGGAGTTGTCAAATTTAAATAGTGATTTCCGTCATATCAATTAGTTCGCTACATCAAGACATCATGTGTGTATTATCGTAACATTCCTCCTTCATTAACAAATTCAACTCCATGAAAATGAAGCTCATTCATCCTCGGAATCTTGACCCTTTATCCGCCTCTGATTTTCTACAAACACTGCTGATGGACATTCCACTACATTATTAAGGATTAGCTCCTTTCTTGAACTTTCACCTTCTAGAAGATTTGATTGAGAGATTACAGGCTAAAATGACTTGAATACAAACTTTACTTCCCATGTGATTTGACCTGAGGATGCCATGATGCTTAATGACAACAGTACAAAAAATATGTTTAAAAGAGAAAGGAATATACCTCCCAATAGGGTGATATCTTTCCCATCCTTAGATTGCATCTCACCGCTCATAAAACCAACGCACCAGATATTATCCTGTCAAATGTTCAAGTTAGAATTGGTTTATTGGGATAGCCGTATCTGGATTCATGTCCAACAGGTAACAAGTGAACTCCCAGTTTGTACTCTACACTTGTTTTTTTTGCTAAAGAAAATTAAGGCAACTGAAGAAAGAAAGAAAATTGGTTTATTAGGATAGCACTATCTCAATGCACATCCAACAAGCAAAAGTGAAATTTCAGTTTCTAATCTACATTTGGTCAACTGAAGAAAGAAAATATGCTTCCCTTGAGCGAAAACAACAATTATGAAAAAAGGAGGATTGAAGATGATTTTAAACACACTGCACTGCTGTCAATTGTAGAAACTGTAATGAATATTACACAAACCAGGTCTTTCATAAACAGTAATCCACACACTTAAACTCTGCCAAAGTGAGTACGAAAAACAATGCCACAGAGAGGAATAAACCCAGCGTTACTTTTTATTACGGACAAAAAAAAACTAAATTTATATGAAAAGAACCGCGAGCTTAAAAATTCATCATCGCTGTAGATTTAAAATGAGAAGCAAAGTTCTCTAGCTAAAATCTTCATAAAGGATTTGAAAGTAAGCATGACTAGGAAGGCGGTTATAGAAGAATAATGAGCACATTTTACTTACACGATATTGAAATAAGTAATCGTGAGGATAAACCGCTAGAGCAAGTGACCCGTTGAAGTGAAACTTTACCACCGGAAATCCATCGTCAACACTGAAGAAAACAGGGAAAGGAAAAAGAAAGATGATTTGGCATAAATCCTTGTAGCTTCAGTGAACTTAGATACTTCTCTTGCCTAAACAACTCAAACCGTCTGGCCCATTGTTTTCAAATAAATGGGTCTAAACACATTGAAATAACATCTCAAACAATACACAAGACAACATCCTATCAATGAGTAATACTAACTTGTAAGACACCAATAATCATCGGTACGCATCAACAGCAATCTGATTTATTGCATTCAGGAGATATTTTTAAACACATTCATGCCGATACAGACCTTGTCCTAGCCCTTACCTTCCAACAAACTGGAAACAACTAAATTGTTCCTCAACAGTATGTAGTTCCAGTCCAGGCTGCTGAGCCATAATCTGATGAAGTTATCACAAAGAGTTAAAAAATACTGAGAAAAAAAAGTAAGGGGCAGAAAATATAGGAGAATCAGTCTATACCTTTTCCATAAGTGGGTTATACACGTCACTCGGAAGATAGGTCAATGTTGTGCCACTGTCAATTATTGCTTCTTTCCCATCTCCAGAGCTGAATATATCTGTTGGAAGTTCTAGATAATCACCACCCACCTCAACAGCCTTCATGACAACATTGTAATGTGCCCTAAAGTAATTGATGAAAATAGAATCACTTTATGTAAGCTGAGATCTAACCTAATTGCCTAATGGATGCCTACAATGTATATAGAATTGAACATGAATAAAAGATCAAACCAAGTACAGAGTCCGATGCAGTACAAATGAAGACTAATGGATGTCAAATAGTGAAAGGAAGAGGAGACCCCGATATCACCAGCACATTCTCTCCTCTTTTTTTTAGTGGAATGTTAATAAAAAATTGAAGCCCTAAATTCAAGGACCAAATGTATTTAATCATAAAAAATGCTTGCCTCCCATCGTCATTATATTAGAAGGCATTTAAGCAATATAAATCACTTCAAAGGGAACCCTCTAACATGGCTAGAAATATGCATTAGAATAATGTAGTAGCTATACTTATGTGTAAGAGAAAGTGCTCTGCAAATGAAAAACAAAGAAATTAAATAATCTGAGCTGCTGAGAATCTTTCTGAGTAAAATACCAGCTAATCTCTTTATTTAATGGGATAATGACACAAATAGTCCATAAACTTTGACCTAATCTGCAATGTGGTCCTTAAACTTTTAATTTGTTCGATGTGGTCCTTAGAGTTTCAATACCTGTTCAAGTTAATACCCGGACTATATGAAAATGTTCAATGTTATCGTTCCATTAAATCAAGTTCAAGGACAACATTGAACATTTTCATATAGTTCAAGGACTAGATTGAACATATATCAAAAGTTTAGGGACCACATTGAACAAATTGAAAGTTCAGGGACGACATTGCACATTGGGTTAAAGTTTAGGGATCGCATTGAACAAATTGAAAGTTGAGGGACCACATTGCACATCGGGCCAAAGTTCAGGGATCATTTGTGTCATTTTTTCTTATTTAATTAGCATTTCAAACCATTAAAAAACTATTGTAATTTCATTTACTATAGTTATGTTCTCCTTATGAAACTACAAGACTATCTTTAGCTACTTCTGCAAAACCAGTCTTTTAAATCTTCTTCCTCAAATTGCTTGAGCCTCTGACAACAAGCACAGTAATGAAAGATATGCCAAACAAGGACCCTTCGGTAAATGATAAGGATCTATGACAATTGAGGAGACAAACAAGCCAGAAAAGCACAATATGATGTAGGACAACAGTGAGATGACAGAAAGAGATACAGAATAAAAATGAGAAGTGTAACATATAAAGAGCCCTTAGTGAACCAAAGAAGTTTCTAGATTGTATCCCAATGTAAAGATTTGGAAAACTGCATCAACTTTGCCAGGCACGAGAAGAGCTTATTAGGTACATCAAACTGCTAGGTCGAAGATCAATGTAAAGAATAAAGATAAAATTGGAAACATAACAAACAATAACGTAACAAGTTAAATGAGATGTTTTGTGCAAGGATCAGGCCACGTACTGATCAGGTACCAATGGAGTAGTATTGACTCTTGGCTGCACCACTTCCCCGATAGCAAATATTCCACCACCATTTACACTATCCAAGCAGTGTGCAAAAACCTTTTTCACCTTTCCAGATGAAGCAAGCTGAGAAAGCATGGATGAGTTTGCTTGTCCAAAACCAAGAATACCATCAAGAGCTGCAGATGATGTGCCCAGCCCTCCAGATTGCTGAGCTGCACACCTGTTCACCAACATAACATGTTAAGGATAGAGAACCAGCATGCAACTGAAAATGAATTGCATAAGAGGGAAACTTCTTATAACAAGAATGCAATAAAACATTTATATTTACATTCATCACTCTCAAGATGTAAACCGGAAAAAAAGGGTTAATAATAAAAATCCAAACATCGAGAGACAAGTTAAACCGGTTCAGATCAAACAGCCCATTGAGGTTCACCAGCATATCAAAATAAATTCCATGTAAAAATTAGTCTCTTCTTTTAGGATCTATATCCAAGTGCCTGGCAAAAGGAGGAGTTTTTCAAGTAATGTTTAACAAGTAAAGATGCTTTGCAAGTAAATAAGCAGCTGCTACAAGTGCTAGTATAACTAAAACGGATCACCCCTTTCTAGTCAATGCTGAGCAAAAACCGGCCGCGAAAGAACATGTCGAGACATGATTCTCTACACTTACCCAGTGCAATATGTGAAATCCTACTACTCTCAGAGAAGCATTATATTGTTGGTTGAGCAACCTACCCAAATATCACACTCGAATTCGAGGATGATGCTCGAAGATTCCCAGTCACTTGATCTAATTGTACATTATCCTCAACAAAGTATCCTGAAGTTGTGCTTCCATCTCCATAAGAAAGTTTATATTCGCAAAGCATGTCAGGCTTGCAACCAGGAAGGAGGGTATGGTACGTGGAAGTGCAAAAATCTTGATCACAAGTGACCAGGTCTGCTGTACTTGAGCCTTTTGGATCATAAAGAGTCAAATCCACCTGTTATAGGATAAGAATAATAAAATGAATTCTCATAGAAGATCAATGTGATTCGGAAACCCAGTTGCAAAGTCCAACAGTCATTTCAATCTGTCATAGGTGCAGTTCAAAGATGTAAGGAGTACAACAACATACCCCGAGATCGCTCTTCTTGGGACACTTGTCGCAGCCAATGCAGTTAACCCAAAAGATGTCGCTTCCCGTGTCAACTTGCACATAATAATCCTTGGAGGGAGTCCCAATTCCAATTTTCGCAAAGTAGAGGCTACATAAACATAACCCAACAATGTGCTCTCATGAGAAACAGGACGGTCATGATATCCAAGTCAATTTGGCTCGACACATAATAAATTCAAAAAGAATCAAACCAAAAAGATTGCAGACTTTGATATAACTTGAATCATCTCAATGGAACTTCAGACTGGACTTTTACAAACATTAACTATACCATGGACGCCTCTCTTCTCATCGTCCTGTGCTGCCAAAGTCAACATATAGTTTAACAGGGACACAACAGACTAGGAAGTCAACACGAAACAGGCCTCGGCATGTACAAAAACGCGGGAAGGTGACGAGAAGACGTCGCATCAAAGTCGGTGACAAAACCATGCCAACGTTCCAACACCCGCCTCGCGGAGGAGACAGCTTGCGGAGCTCAAATTTCAACAGACGAGACGCCGCCCCGCAAACACGAAGAACCGACCACAAGAGGTCAAACCCAAGGGAGGAGGCAAAGCAGGAATAGAAAAAGGGAAAAATCACCCAGTATCGGTGGGGGCGCCCTTGCCACCCAGGGGGAGATCGACGGCGGAGAGGAGCCGGCCGTGGCGGCGGGCGTCGTGCGACCTCATGTCGCCCAGCCTCTCCCGGCGTCCCTCGAACCTGTGGTGCACCTTCAGCACCATGTTGTCCGCGGCCGCCACCGACGCCAGAACGAGCACCACCACCACCACCGCCGCCGCCGCCGCCGCCGCAGGCGATCTCGCCGGACCCATTTCGCGGCGAGCTCTCTCCCTCCCTCTGTTTCTCTCTGTCTCTCTGTCTCGGGAAGAATGAGTTGGCGAAGGGAAGAGGGGGGCGGGTTAGGGACACGAGGACGGGACCGTACGCAACTGGGTATCCGCCGTATTTATAGGGGGAGAGACAGCGTCCGCCTCGTTCTCTCTTCTCCTTCGTGTTCATCGTGCCTTCTCTGTCTCTCTGTCTCCCTGTCTCTGTGGCGTTGGCTTTTTCGATGCTCTCACGTTTCTATTCTCGCTTTTGACGTCCCCCCGTTTCCAGCTCCCTCTCTCTCTCTCCTCCTCCTCCTCCTTCTCGCTCTCCAAAGTAATATGGAATGCATTTTCCTTCCTTCCTTCCTTCCTTCCTTCCTTAGCCTTTCATTTGCCCAAATGAAAGGGGGAGGAAACCCACCACGAAAGAGATCGTGAATTTATGTTCGCCGCGCGACATCAATGCCCCGAATTTTTCCTCCGGGAAAAAATGACCCCGAGTAGCCGTCGAACTCTGGCTCGATATGCAACGTGGTCAGTCCCTGAACTTTTGATTTGTCCAATGTGTTCGTTGAACTTTGGCCCCGATATGTAATGTCGTCCTCTGAACTTTTATTTGGTTCAATGTGGTTTCTGAACTCTTGATACGTGTTCAGTTTAGTCTACATGTATTAAAAGTCCATAGATCATATTTGAACAAAATAAAAGTTCGGGGATAATATTGCACGTGGGGCCAAATTTCATGGACCGTTTGTGTAATTATTCCTCACCGAAATTCTGAACTATATACAGGTTGGAATAAAATACCCTTTTGTCTTTGATAGAAAATCACTTAGATTGCTTGTTGTGACATCACTGCCCGATTTTTTTTTTTTTCTGTGTCATCAATAGCCCATACTTGTACCGATTTGTCACACCTTGGTGACGCAAAAGATAAAAGCTTCGGGTATTAGTGTCATAGCTAGGATAGTTTCGGACTTTTGGGGACACAATAAAAAGGTTTAGAGTACAGGTGTCACGGTGGGCATAGTTTAAGGTTTTTGATGTATCCGTTAAATGAATTCTGCAATTAAACTATCGCACTTAGATCAAATTTTTCATTTCTTCACGGCTCACATTCCTTGAACGGAATTCAGCAAAATTGTCGAAAACTCGCTGACGCGACGGTCAAGTAGCCAACTCTTCTCCTCACGCCACGACCACCGCCCACATGGCCATCGCATCGGCGCTCGATCCGAAAACCATTCAGCTTCTGGTTGAGGCACTTTAAAATGCAACGGAAACGGAAATTTAATTGTTTTTTTTCGGGGATTTAAATCGAAATTCAGCACCCCGTTTACAAAAAACCCAATAAAGCGCGACGATTATGGGCGGAATTTACTCCACCGTCGATTTCATAGCGGGACCCTATCACCTTAGAAAAGCGTACATGTTCTTGTCTAATCGTCCTTATTTGATTGTTTAACAAGTGATTTATTATGGTGAACTTGAATGCCGAGTTTTATGGTACTAGGGCCGCAGCAGGTTGGGGAACATCAATCACGCCAATTAACTTAAGTCCCGACATCAATCCCTCATTCCACACGCACGTGTGCAATCACAGGCAGATTGAATGGACATGTCATCAACTAAAAGAAATTGCGAAGCGATAAAGCAATCTTGATTTCGCGACACAAGAACGATTTGAAAATTATTTTTGCTAAAAATAATCGTCCGTATCGCCTCTAAAGATGAATGAACGAAGATATTTTAAACATAAATCGTTGTCTATAAACTAAACATTTTTCATTGATTAAATATTTCGATCGAGCAATACGAGCGATCATTTCTAGGAAAGTATTTTCAAATTATTCATTTTTCACGGATTTCAGATGTAAGCTAGATTGTTCCTGACGTTTTGCCCGATCTCAATCACATAGAATATGTAACGGGAAATTAAATTACTTAATAGAATATATATAATTTGGTTAATTTTTTTTTTTCATTTTGGGAGTGTGATGAGTTGACATTTGGGAAAAGAAAAGGAAGAGAATAAGAAGTTGCGAAAGACCACCAACTTTAGCAATGGATCGCTTTGCCCGACCTTCTACTCTTTTTTGGGATTCCGGTAAATTTCCCTCATTTCCGGTGTTACGGGCTTGTCGGGGCACGAAGCCCGGACATCCCGACCCATTTGTTGCGGCACGGGTTGATTTTTCCGGCGAAGCTTCGTCCGAGTTCATGATTCCCATTTTGAGCCCCGATGTCGGCGCTGTCCGCGGGGTAAGAGGGAACTTTTTCTTCGTTCTCCCTACGAGATTTTCGGAAACGGAAAGCATACCCCGACCAAACCTAGCTCCTTCCTAAGATATCCGTCGAGTCCTATGCTTCTGATCTAGTTTTCCAATCCATGCAGCGCCGCCTCCTTACGCAATGCGAACCCCGGCATTTAAACCTAGCTGGAGGGAGAGCGGTAGGCAAGTGATGAAGGTGATTTTAACTGGCCAATTGACCCCCCGACACGTGTCATGTCGACACTAGCGAGTAGCCGAGTACTAATGGCACTTACGGGTGGTCTAGATAGTTTCATTCGACGTGACATTTCACAACCGGACAATCCGATCGTGACCAGACACCGCTTTAATATCATGTCATCCGAGCACGCGATGGTTCTGCCATTATCTAAAATGTGGAACATACATTGGCCCCCGGAACGGTACGAATGCATTTGTCACGGACTTCCACCACTTACTACAATCCGTCCAACATAACCCGACCATCCACCAACTGCTACATATGAATAGTAATATGAGCATTTTGGTACGCTCTCTCTTGCTCTCTCTCCAAGGAAAGAATTTCTCCCTTTATCTTTGAGTCCCGCATCCTATCCTTTTTCCTCCAAGTTTCCTTCGTTTCATAAGCATCGAAGGGACAATTCGAGCTCAAAATCCAGGCGCCCCGACCCGTTTGTTACGCTGCAGATTGATTTTCTAGTAAAAGCTTCGAATCGAGTTCGTCAATCCCATTTCAAGCCTCGACGAGACCGACGAGGTGACGGAGTCCGGTGCGCAAAAGTCGACCCGACGAACGTTTGACAGTGTCGGTAACATCTCTGTGGGGGGAAATTCTGCGAGGCAAGCTCGCCCAATTGATGGAAATGAACGTTTCTAGTAAAGACTAAGGGCCCGTTTGGTAACGTGCCAAGCAGCGAAAATTTCTGTTCTTTTGTTCCCAGAAATAGTTTGGGAACAGAAATGCGTTTGGTAAACTTTTTGTTCCCGGACACATTTTTGCAAATATTTGTGTCGAGAAACAGTTTTGGAAGAGAAACAAGAAGTAAAAAAAAGTTGCTTCTTATTTCTCGACACAATTTTGAGAATCAGTTTTTTTTCTTCTTTTTCTTTTTTTTCTTTTCTTCTTTTTGTGTTGCTCTTCTTGGGTTGTTGTGGCCGGTCGCGGCGGCGATCGCATGACCGCCATTGGCCTGGTAGAAAAAAAAAATTAAACAATTCAAAATATTATTAATAAAAAGAAATTTATGTGTAGTTACCAAACACATTTCTGTTCTTTTCTATTCCGGGAATAGAAATTTTGGACAGTTTACCAAACGCCTTCAAATGCACAAAAATTGTTTCTGGGCACAGAATAAAAAAAAATCATTTATGTTCAGAAATAGTTCCCGGACACAGAATGGTTGTCATGCGCACCCTAAAATTCCCGTTCAGCTTCAATGTATGCTGACCTGAAATTTGCAAGGAGGCAAAATGGCACGCACGCATCTTAGCATAAGCTTCGCGCAAATGAAAAATGGGGGCTCGTAAATAGACGCCAAAGGCCCAGCTTTCGGAATACCATTTTGGGCCTTCCTTAAGGAAAGCCCAATCCAGATGGTCAGGAAAAGCTCTCGTGACCGAGCGCTTGAGGATTAGAACGATTATCAACATAGATCTCTCTCGGGTTCCCTTGGGCTGCGTTTGGTCGACCGGATAAAAGTCAGGATAGGATATGTTTTATACTATCCTGTATTTGGTGGTGGTCCAAGATAGGATAAGGTCAGATATAGACCGGATATAGCCCGGATAAAAAAATCGGGGGTGGGGGGTGGGATAGACCCGGATAGGATTTCTAATGCCTATTTTTCCAGAAATCCTACGCTCCACTTGCCGTCATCTTCATCCCCACACCTTGTGCGCTTTCACCAAAAAAATTTCTCGGCTTTTTTTCCTTCATTGACTCCTCCGGACCCATGAATAGCAAAAAATAAAAATAAAAATTATCCTATCCGACTTTAAATCCGTAGTCCACCAAACAGTGGACATGATATGAAGAAATCCCAGGATTTCTTATCCTATCCTATCCAGTCCTATCCTGTTTAGAAATCCGGACGACCAAACGCTGCCTTGAGGATTAGAACGATTTATTGTTGAGATGGAGTAAACCTTGTCAAGTGGCATTTTGTTCTCAACTCTCGATTGGTATCGGCAAGTGGCGAGCCTAACCGATATGGAAAAGCTGGGCCAAAGCAGAAGTCACTAATGAACGGAACAATCGATAAGTTACGAACTCGTCGAGGGTCGAAGAAATCGATAACTCGCCGTAGATTCATTAACAACATTTGATGCAGAGATTGGCGAAGAGACCCTTCACCAACTGACAACTTGAAGGGAAATTGATCGACGAAGTCATCGATATCGGACAATCTCAGATTTTGGGCTAAGTTGTGAGATAGTGTCGTTAGTGAACAAATAGAGGTCTGCTAATACTCGGTGACAAAGACAAAGACAGTTGATCAACTCAAACGCGATTGCCCGATGATCGCGCTTACCACTTTGACAATCGTAATTTTTTGTGAATAATCTCAGGACTAGAATCTCAGATAGTGTAATTGCTTTTCGATGACCATAAATAGCGCTAAGGAAATTATTTATGGATTCAAAATCCATAATTGTTCATATATGTTCATATGTAACTCTCCTGCAAATATCTTTCTGACACATTTCCCGTGCCATTTACATTGCTCTGATCTTTAACTCTTGAGTACCTACATTTTAATTCACTTACTTTTTCGGCCATATACTTTCCTATTCAAAAATCAACAAAGAAACGAAAATTTGCACGAGAGACAATGTGTCCTCCATCTATGCACCCCGAAAGATGCCGGACTGTGAGATGATGTAGAATCACCAAGTCGTAAATCTTATTGTACGGATACCAATTTAGTTCTAAACCCTTCGATTTTGCCAATTGAGTCTTAAACCTTTTGATGATTTACCAGTAATGTTGTCCTTCTGGCTCATTTTGGCTCGCAATCGCTGACGTGGACCCTGACCGTCCGACATGGCACGGCTAACACTGTTGTGGACAATTTTTGCATTATTTTTATAACTGTTCTTTACATTTTTATTTTTTTTTCTTTTCGTTTTTCCTACTATGTTAGGCAAGAGCCGCCAACTCTCACCGAAATTTGTAGGAAAAAAAAAAGAGAAAAGAAAAGAAGAAGGTATAAAAAAATTATGAAAGAAATTCAAAAGGTTATAAAAAAAATTGCAAAAATTGACCAGTACCGACTGTGCCACATAAGATAGTCAGTATCCACATCATCAATTTCTGACCAAAAGTTGGTCGGAATAACTATATTAGCAAATCGTGAAAGGTCCGGGATTCAATTTACAAAATTGAAAAATTTAGAACCAAATTGATATCCGTACAATAAGTAGATGACTTTTTATTAGTTACCACGAGTGCCATTAGGTGGTAATTGAATTGAATTCGGCTCATGGAGTCACGGTATTCACACGATCGATCGGTCGTATCGCGTGCTCCAGGGGGCACGACAAATGACCGAGTCCACCCGAGTCGCTTTCCGGCGATGGTCGGTCCCCACCCTTCTTATCCACCACCCCCCGATCAAAATCTCTCGCAACACCGATTTTTCCACGAGCTCCCTCAACACCTCTCGTTGCCCCCTCCCGGATATCCCCGAATTACCCCCCACCATCCTCGTGCCGCGTCCACAAGACGAAGGGCGTTTCCGTCATTCCAGCCCTTTCAAAACGACAACGGTCCTCGTCGTATATATATAATCGCCCGCGGCCCTTTGAACTCTCCACCCGAAACCTTCGTTTCACCCCCTCTTCTCGTCGTCGTCGTCGTCTTGCTGTTCTGCTCTCTCCGATCAGCTCCAATGGCGCTGCAACTTTCTCTCTCTAACCCGTCCTCGCTCCGCTCTGGCGGTGCTGGTAGTATCTCGATCGCTTCCTCCTCTTGTTCCTCCCTCTCTTCTTCGCCGTCGTTGAAGAGCGCGAAGATGGTCGTCGGTCGGACACGGAGGAGCGGGATCGGTGCGGTGAGGTGCGGTGTGGAGACGGCTGTCCCGGCGATCGGGCAGGTCACGGAGGTCGACAAGGACAGCTTCTGGCCCGTCGTGAGGTCCGCCGGCGCCAAGACCGTCGTCCTCGACATGTACACCCAGTGGTAACGCTCTGTGTCTCTCTCTCTCTGTCTCTCCCGTAGTTCATCTTCTTCGTGAGTTGGATTATGCTTTTCTCGATCTCGATGTGCTGTGCTGTTCACGTGAATCGTGATCCATGGCCGAGACTAGGAGAAGCTGTGGGAATTCATCCGTTTTTGTTAGTGGGGAAGTGGGGAAATCTGCGTTGATCATTGGGGAAACCCAGGACGGCCTTGCTTGTTCGGCACTCGTGGGCGTAGCCGATCTTCCATGACTGTTGAATGTATGAACTTGCTGGAATGCATGACCTCGCTTGATTGCCAAATTTGGATAGAACTACCGAACAGAAGCAACTCTTGGGGAGTTCAGAGAAAAACTCTGCTCTAATAGTATCTTGGTTGTTCATTACCATCTGGCCGATACTGCCGCTGTACAGAACCGTACACGAGATTTTCACCCCACACGGCTTGTCGTCGTCATGTTCCGCCGACACAGTAAAAGGGTTATATGGTATATCGGTTGCGGAAGTAGGCCGATGTTTCTAACGGCAAATTTGCCGTCGAGGCTCTGTATATCTCGAGCTGCTAGTCACCTGAGCAGCAGTAGAACCCGCACCCGGCACTCCAAAGCTTCTGGCAAATGGCCTCGGCGTGTCGTGTTCCCCTGGGAGTTTCCCGCAATGTGTCTCGCTTGATTTGCATCGATATCACATGAAAATTTTCGGGGCGGCCGAGTTTTCCTGGAAATTTTGCATCCTAGGCGTGGCTTCTAGGATCATATTGGGGAGATCTGGTTTTCTTTCTTTCGATTATTAGAAGTGTGGATTATCTTGGTGTTCATCGAGCTTTCCTTACGTTTGGCAGGTGTGGACCTTGCAAGTTGATGGCTCCAAAATTCCAAAAACTATCTGAGAAGTACTCTGATGTTATCTTTCTAAAGCTGGACTGCAACCAAGACAACAAGGTAACTATCACTTTCACTTGCAGGATGGTTTTGTTGGATGGTTCGTTCCAAATTTCTCTCTTTCCCACTCTCATGATTCTCGAAACATCGTCGGCAGCCTCTGGCGAAGGAGCTCGGTATCAGAGTGGTTCCCACTTTCAAGATCCTCAGGGACAACAAGATCATAAAGGAAGTCACCGGAGCTAAGTTCGACGATTTGGTTCTAGAGATTGAGACTGGCAGATCGAGCTGAATCCACTCTGCCGGAGAAATTCTCACATACCACGGCCAACTTCACAACCCAAATAACTGTTGTACTTACATGTATCTATTTGTATCAATCACTTCACATTTTGAGCCGTAGATGAAATGAGCCAAGTGATTTTACACGCAGCATCGAACGCCGAAGTCGCAAGACTACCTATCTTTCAATTGCGGTAACGCACGACATCGTTGTCTACCTGATGTATGTATGCAAAACTCGACATTTGCTAGAAATTCAAGAAGCTTACAGAACTGAATTGCCAATGATGTCTTCTGGCTCACAGTTACAAACAATCCCCAGATCTTCTTCTAATGGGTGGACCTGTGTAGCTACTTCTTTTCACCCTAAGATTTCAATGTGCCCTTTGTGGAATACACTTTAATGGCAATTCTTCTTTATCTTCTCGACAACACGTTCCAAGACAAGAACCCTACCATTTCTTCCAAGCTCAGTACATAAATTAGTGTGCAATTGCATCATACTGAATGATGTTAAGGGAGATCAAAGTGTTAGAATAGTGAATGGGTTAAGATCATTTGATACAAACTAGCTTGCATGTCTTCTTTCTCTAGTCAAGAGGGCCTCTAATCACTATTGTTCTCGGTTAATTAAAAGGAAAAGTGGTTTTGACCAAACAAAAAAAGGAAAAAGGGCATCAATAGTCCCCAAACTCTAGCCTCACGTGCATTGTCATTATTGAATTTTTAATTCGTTCAATGTGGTTCTTAAACTATTCATAAATGTTCAATCTAGTTTCTAAACTTTCAATGTGTTTAATGTAGCCCCTTAACTTTCCACAACAAAGTGAAATTAGTTTACAGTACTATTCATAAGTTTTCATAATCACAATATTGCCCAGATATTAAAAATCTTTTTATTTCAATCCATTTTTAAAAAAAATATCCTATCTTTTGATGACACTTCTTTAATTTTTTAAGTCTTTATAATTTCGGGTGTGTTTCGCCGGAATTTGTCTTGACAACGAAATACCTTTCACTCAAAGTTGTTCTTCGATTTTTATTAAGAGGAGATAGATTATGTGGTGATTCCGGACATGATAAATCACTAGAGCACAAGGAAATCGATAAATATACTTCAACGAACTTCAATTAACGTTGAAGTACACAACACTTTGCCATAATTTAATCAACGACGAAAATCTGAGAGCCACAACTAGGATAACATGCCGGAATGTAATCAATGACGGGATATTTGGAAACTTCAACAATGATACAAGGAATTGAAAGATAAAAATTTTTGTATGTTTGCGGGGCTTCTATATTGCCAAGAATTAGAATTTATAGTTGTACAATGTAACTGCTTATAAAAAGTTCTTCAGCAGTTTCAAACATGTCTTCAGGCCTCTAAGGCTTTCCGCTCCATTTCTTCATGTCGCCACGACTTTCACGTTCATTCGTCACCATCTTGACTCTCAATCCAAGTCGTTACTCCTTCAAATTCTTCTTCATGATCTGTTGTGCTCCACAGTCTTATCCGTAAGCAGTTTCAAATCCGAATACTATTATGCTTAAATCTCTCACCAACTTTGCTCGCAAAAACAACTAGTTTCATCTTACTTATCATCTAGCTGTCAATCGATGCCTTTCGCTCGGTGTCTTTATTTTAATAGCATTTGGTCAACTCTATCATGACAATCGCCAGTCAGTCGCTATCGTATATTGATAAATGATCACAATCATCAATAAGTATGACCACGATGCCTCTAATCAACATCCCGTGAATAGCCACCTTACTTGATCCCAAGTCACGTACTCAAATCGATGTCGTGCCAATGACTTGGTTAATTTTTTGTGCAAACTGAGAGTCAAAGTCCCAAAAAAAGGGGGGTCAAGTGAACAATGCATCTAGAAAATTATAGGTTTATGACATGAAAATAAAACTTTTAGTGGAGTCGATTGACCCGTCGAGACACTCTATCTCTGATTATGTGAACTTGGGTTTGTACAAACCCAATAGAAAAATTTCGATTCCCAGTTCGACGAAGGCAGAAAGTGGTCGTCGGGGCTAGAGGGTTTGGACAAGGAGCGACTTTTGGCAGGATTATCGAATGGCGAATGAGGCAGTAATAAATCGAACTGTGCACTGAACATGGGGGAGCGATTCTTAGATACATATGTGTGTGTGTGTGTGTGAAAATTGTAATCAACTCACGAAAGCACATATGGCAATATTTAGTTTTGAAACTCCAAAGTTACACGTGCTCAGGTGAGAGCACTCGAGCCAAAGCGGACAATATCTTAGTGAGTTAATCCATGGTGTTGCAATTCATACGCATCGGGACCCTAGAACATTTCTTATTTTTCATTTTTGGCATACCATAACCATACCCAACTTGGGGACCGAAAATAAATGCAAAAAACGGTTGTATGGTAAGTGTCACTTTCGCATAAAGGAAACTATAGTGTTGGATGGACAGTGCTTAGCACATGACAAACGATCCAGCGAAAAACAACAATCGAAACAACAAGAATGATGACACAAACAGTCCCTTAACTTTGGCTCAATATATAATTTGATTCCTGAATTTTTAATTTATTCAATATAGTCCTTGAACTTTAACCTAAAGTTCTACATTGAACATTTTCATATAGTTTAGGGACTAAATTGAACATTTACCAAAAGTAAATGGACCACATTGAACAGATTAAAAGTTCATAGATCAAATTAAACTTTAGGCTAAAGTTCAGAAATTATATTAAATAAATTAAAAATTTATGAATCAAATTACACGTTAGATCAAAGTTCATGAATTATTTATGTCATTTTCCTAAACAACAAACGCACACGCACGCAGGACCACCACCCCCACTACTTCGGTTTCATCGCCACCCGCCGTCGCTTCTCTACCCACTCCCTCCCGCAGACGGACTCCCCGAATCACTCCCCCTCTTCTCCCTCTCCTCTTCCTCTTGTACAGACTGAAAGTTTTCTGAGCCGAACCCACCATTCCATCCCCCTCCCTCCTCGCGATTCGCGCCGAAAGGAGCCGCCTTTCCTCTCCCTCGGGGGAGACCCATCAGGCATCAATGGCGTCGTCTCTCTCCACCGCCGCCGCCGCTTCCACCACCCTCGCCGCCAAGGCCTCCGCCTCCCGCCTGCCCCGCTCTCCTTCCCTTCCTCCTCCTCGCGGCTGCCCTCCCGACGGTCCACGCGCTCTCTCCTTCCGCCTCTCCCCTAACAAGCCCAAGCTCCGGTTCTTGGCCCGGGTATGTCCCAGTTCTTTGGTTGATCTCCCGTCGCTGCTTTGCCTTTGTTCTTGCCGGCGGGGGGGAGTGTCTGCTGCTGTTGGGTCGTTTCTGGAGAGTCGGAGGGGGAGTTCTTGGTTGCGCGCATGTTGTTGTTGGAGGGGTCGCGGGGGCAAAATTTTGCATGAATTATGAGCTGGTGATCCTCTCTGTGCGTTTGTGATTCCTTGCTTTGTTGCCTGCGAATTGGTAGTCGGAACGTTGGTTTTCAAGTCACTGGCCTGATTTGCTCCAGTTCTTGCTTGTCGGGCATGGATCGCAATCGCAATGCAATGCCGAAGAAAATGATGGGAAGGGTGGTAGGCTCTTTTGAGAGTGAAAACTGTGCCTCCTGGTTAGTTGTCGGAGCTTAATTCTAGGTGAAGAAGGACCGTTGTTTCCTCTTATGGAGTTGCAAAAGTCCAAGGCAACATGATCCTTTTTTTTTCACGGCTTATCCTCAAATGGTCCAGCTTTTATAGCTGCTGAATGTGCAGTTTTGTCTGATACAATGCAGTGATAACTCCTCTGGGACACTCATTGCCCTCCTCGAATTTTTGTGCTGTAAAGCAGAGTCGATTGTCCAACCCTTGTTTTTTAGCTCTCGAGTAAGTTTTTACTTGGTAAATCTATTAATCGATTATTCCAAGTTCATGTGTTGCCACAAATTTTTGCTGGATTGACTTTTGATAGATTCTATGCTGAACCCTTTATGCTGCACGAGATTTTGGTGCTGCAGTGAATAAATTTGGGGTTTGATACTATTAGAAAGCTGGTAATTGTACTTTTGAGAAAGGTTGAACTCATTGAGTTCCAAAGAATTTTCAAAGAATTCTTTATTGGAGAAGTGAGCTGGAAATGAATTCTTGATTGAGCACCTTTCACTGCACATGTGGCGACTCACATTTCCTCACAAGTCACGGTGGTTGTGGTTTTATTTGTTCCCATCAGTTCCAGTACTTTATTAATCTGTACTTTCAGAATAATAGAATAACGTATGGATGGGTTGTATTTTCTACCATTGTGGTTACTATTCCAACCACCTTGATGATTGGCGGGTTACAAGTTAGAGGTATCACCCACATGCAAAATTAACGAGACATAATGTGGGTGATTTCCATATTTGTAATCCACAGATCAGAAGGGTGGCTGGAGGGAATGGATTGGATAGTGAAAATGGTCTTGTTCTTAGATTGCGTCGGAAATGGTACTTTTAGGATTCATTGCAAATTGATCTCCTCAATTGTTAGGGAAGTTGCAATGTGACTCCCATCCTTTGAATTAGCAGTTAGCTCGTACCCTCCTTAGTTTGACCATTCTACGACTCCAAACCAACCATGCGAGGTCAGTAGTAAATCAATGACATGCTCTAATTTGCAGTTGGCAACTAAATCCTCTAAAATCTGGTTACGAGCTACTAGATCTGAGAGAATAGATGCGGTATTGGTAGTTGTGGGTTGGGGTTGTATATGTTAAAATGGGAGAAAAGCAGTAGCTGTCTTGACCAAACTATTTTCAGGGTCTATTTGCAATAGAGTGAAAAAATAGGGCACCACCTGCAAAAGTTAAGCGACAAGGGGCATAGTCAATCCATTTATTTCTGCACATATCTTTTCTTCTGCAGCAGGAGCTCTGTTTCATGGTATTGGCCTTTAGGTAAAGGGGGACATTCTGAATTGTGTCTCCTAGGGTTTGTCAAGATGAATACCGTAAAGAAGCTTGAGTTTAACTTTGCACTTGCACATGGCAGAATTTCTTGTCCATGTATTTCACTGGTTTTAAGGATAGAATCTTTAGCTGACTGCTACCTAAAAGTTGCCACTTGTTTGGTAGTCAAAGGAGACTGGCATTGTATGACATTTTTCTTGGTACTGCAATGTTAATAAAGAGATAGTCGAATAACCAAAAAGAAAATACTAATGATATACTCTGGTTAGTGTCTAGAGATTCAATGTGAGATTCTCTCTCTCTCTCTCTCTCTCTCTCTCTCTCTCTCTCTCTCTCTCATATTTGTATGTCATTCCTTCTCTCTTTCCATGTACCTATTCACACTGAAGAACACATACTTGTGAGGTATGGTGGTGGTCTAAAGTTGATGTTTCTATGGCAGGGGTTGCATCATACCTCGAGGAGCTCAGCAGTGGTAAAGGCGCAATCAAAAGAGGTAATGTACTTCCAATGGTTCTTTTTAGAGGAACTATGTTCAAATTTTCGCTCCTTCATGGACATTCTTCTGGGGTCATCTGTTACCTTAAAGGTTGCTGCTGATGGATCCTCAAATGCTGCTACTACACCTCCATCAAAACCTGCAGTACCAGCCTCAGAAACAAAGGATGCTCAGCCACCTGTTGATCCCTCTTCTGCAAGTGTGGCTACCAAAGAGTCAATCTCAGAATTTATCTCTCAAGTTTCAAATCTAGTCAAGTACGTGAACCTTTCGTTTATAGTTTTCTACCTCGTCTTTTCCAGGGCTCCCTTGTCGCAAATTGTGAATTACATCTGTTCCATTCATATCTGCAGGCTTGTTGATTCTAGAGATATCGTGGAGCTGCAGCTAAAGCAGCTTGACTGCGAGCTAATTATTCGCAAGAAAGAGGCCTTGCCTCAACCGCCAGCTCCTGCTCCGTCTATGATGATCCATGCGCCCTCTCCCGTTATAGGCCCACCTGCCCCAGTTGCACCTGCTCCAGTTGCACCCACCGCTCCCAGGCCACCACCTCCATCGGCTAGCAAGCCGGCTGAATCATCGCTTCCACCTCTTAAATGTCCCATGGCAGGAACATTCTATCGAAGTCCAGGACCGGGCGAACCCCCATTTGTAAAGGTTTGTTATCTCTTACTGTGGCTCTACTGAAACGGCTGACACTAAAGTGACTTAAATACCTTTCCCATTTATGCCCGGATTCCTTTTCTACTGGGTCAAATGATTTGACTTTTCTTTCAGAAAGGAGACAAAGTACAGAAAGGACAGGTTGTATGCATTATTGAGGCCATGAAGTTGATGAATGAAATTGAAGTAAGTGGTCGTTTAGTTTATAATGTGCAATCATTATTTACGGTTCAGCTATGGTCTATTGTCATGATCCGCCCCACTAGATACATCTGCTCGCATTAGAAAGGGCTCCTGGTCCCTCTTATGGGCTTGTGGTCATTCTACAAATAGCTAATTGTAAAGAGAATTCACTTCTAACTTTGCAATAAATCATTGTTCTTATGTATCTTGAAGGCCGATCAATCGGGAACTATAGTCGATGTTCTTGCAGAAGATTGCAAACCAGTCAGCGTTGACACGGTGAGTTCGATCTGCTGATTGACAGACGTTCAACTACTGGTTATCATGTTATTCTTGCACATACTAACCTGACGATTTTCGGTGTCTTTGCAGCCGCTTTTTGTCATCCAACCGTAAACCTTTGATCTTGAGGAGGCGAAAGCACGACTCAGTAGGACGTTGAAGAAGAGTAATTTTCTCGGTACTATGGTGACATGCGGCATTGATTGATTTGAGTTGGTATATTTTGAAAGTTGAGTTGATAGGTAGAGAAGTAAAGATGGTTTGCTCGTAATTCCTTTCAATGCTGCGTTGCTGGGATGATATACCCGAATAAACTTTTGGCTTTTTTGCATCAATTCTATTATGTACAAGCAGAGCAATGTTATGTGGACAATAATGGTTGGTTCCATAATCTGTCAACTTAGTGAATAAAGTAACCTATGTGCTTGGATTAGATATGTTATGTTGCTCGGGTTGTAGAGACTTGTCCGCAGACGGGGAAACTTGCATATTGACAACTGGTTACTGGGTATATGTTATGGTTAGCAGATGGTTACCGGGCGTCGTTTAGGGTTAGCATGACTGCCTGTGTTTGGCTTTGGTGCCGACGTCGCTAAAGAAGCTACGTGTGCCAATCCAGTGATACGAGGGTGAGTTTGATCCCAGTCCCTGGTTTCACGCCGAGAGCTGGTTGAAAATGGGAATGACGACAATAGGTGGGATGTGGTCGGCTCGTCCTGACTTTGCGACGTTGCCGCGCCCTTGTTTGCCTACCATCTATGCATATATTTCTTGTCCGGTTACCAATGAGCCGACTGGGTAACCGTGTGATTGGCCAAACATGCTTGGGTTGAAAGTCTTCTTTGTATCTAGTGATGTGCATCTAAATCTACTTTGCCATTTAATCTTTCACTGGATTGGATTTTTCTTCTTAGGATGTTAAATTTTGTTTAGAGTGACTTTGATATTTTTTTATATGAAAACAGGCTAAAGCCGAATACAAAAATTTAATGTAGTTAATCTATTATGCTTATTTTATCACCTAATAAAACATGAAGTGAGGTAATAAAAAGAAACTAGTATCCAAGCACTTATCGATTTCAAGATTAGCAAGCTAATCAGCAAAGCGATTTTCTCAAAGTGAGAGCACATTAGTCTTATGATATATTTAACTCAAGTAAGACTAGCATTATCAAGCATAAGTTCTGGCCTATTAAGATTAGTGATTAATGATGACTTTAGAGTTAATCTTAATGATGATCTTATGAGAATCAAGTTGTTTTGTGAAGTTGATTCCCAACCACAGAGCTTGATGTTCTGTTTGTGTCGTTGAAAATATTCCTATTCATTTCTAAATAAAACCCCATGCACTAGCAAGTCTTGGGTTGCCTTTGGAGGCCCTATTAGTATTTAGTTTAATCCACCCGGAAGATGGATGATCCCATCTGACCAAAATCAGAAAAATTTATGATCCACTTAACGTCGAGCGAATTTTAGACAAAGCTTTACTATTTTCTTTTGTGTATGACCAAATTACTTGTACCGGATTTGAAGGGAAAACAAAGTTGTCCTAGAAAAGTGACTTATTTCTCCATTGCCAAAAAAGCCATACATCTACTCCAAAAATTATGTTCCAATTATGATGAAAATTCAATCTCCCTTTACCAGCAAGATTTGAATTCAACCATTGCGACAAATTCATTGAATTCTCGACAAACTCAAGCCATATCCTACAGACAATTGGACAATCCCTTAGAACATGTAAAGTTATTTCCAAATGAGACTCTCATCTCAAGCAATATGAATTTCCTCCCAAAAGTTGCGAGACCTCTTTAATTCATTTGTCAATAGCCGCTTATGAACAGCTAGCCAGAGGAAATTTCTAATACGTTGAGGTCCCTTCCACATCCAAACTGTGGACTGTGTACTAGGGGTGTCAATGGGTCAGATCGGGTCGGGTTTTCATGATACCCAACCCAACTCGAAATAATGAATATGTGTGCTTGACCCGACCCGAAACAAGACCCGAACATGATATAGCCGCACGATCGGGTCGGTTCGGTTCGGTTCGGGTTCGTGTTTTAGATTTTTATTATAAATTAAAGTTAAGTTACACCTAGAGGTGTCAATGGGTCGAGTTGAGTCTAGTCTCCACGCTACCCGACTCGATCAGAATCATAAAAGATATGTGGACTCTTGATCCGAACCGAACATGACCCGAAACGCAAAAATCGGGTCGGGTTTCGGGTCTTTTTGGGTTCAAGCTAATATTTGACGATGTTACAATTGATTCGAAGGTCGGTGCTTATTGTTCGTTTTATCTAAATTGACGCTTCCCATGTATCCCCGGTTTTCGTCACCCTCGATTGCCTTTGAATTCGGGGATTCTGATTGCCTCTCGTCTCCGTTATCACGTTTCGATTTTTGCTTAATGCAGGTCAGGATGCTCCGAAACCATGCTTTTTACCGATTCTGTCATGGATTTGCCCGAGAATTACATCACGCTGTCCCGTCATTTGCTTGAAAGTTATCGGATTTGATGCAAGTATGCATCTTTGCTTGATGTACTTATCAAGTTATCTACCAAAGACACAAATGCAGATGAAGACTTGAAATTTTGCCGGTTGAATCGTTGATCTAGTGACACCACTTCGAGACGGACTATGATGACTCGTGAGCTCTTTGGACCGGATGACGGCGGTAGAGTAGATGAGGAGGACGGAGGCAGAGTCGCCGAGGAACGAAGTTGACGACGGCGGGCGATTTCACGTTCCGGAGGAGGACGAAGTCGAACGACAGTGCTACGAAAGTGAAATGTGTTTCGATTCTAAAAATAAAAAAATAAAAAAATAAAAATATATGTGTTACGGTTCGGTTCGTGTTCTAAACACGAACCGAACTGAAACCATCGAGATACCCCATTTGCTTAGCTAATACCCGAACATGGAGTTGACCCGGCCCGAAAATACCCGAAACTTCGGATCGGGTCGGGTCGGTTCGTGTTTCCGGTTCGGGTATGTTGTTCGATTTTGACACCCCTACGTGTGTAGTATCGGATTCTTAATCGCCCGCCTTATTGAATACTTCGCGCGCCGACTTAACAGAGAAAGACACCCGCTTCCAATGCCTTCCGACACAAGAGCAACCGTCCCCATCATAGGCTAAAGGAGATCTGAAAAGTACAAGGTCAATAATTCCGTCCCCATAGCCATGACTTGGTCGACATCTCATAAGTTTGAAAACTTGCCCCGAAGAAGGGGCGCGGTGTATACTCTAGGGGTGTGAGCCCCCGTCACCCGCTCGAATCCCATCAACATATCACGTAAAACTACTTTGCAAACTAACCCTGGTTCCAAGGGGGAACCGAACCGGATCGGACCGACATATTTTTTCTTCAAAAAATTAATAAAATATAAACTAAATCCTAAGTGAACTTTATTGACATAAATTCTTTGATAAAATTAGTAAAATGTGAACTAAACTCTAAGTGAACTTCATTGATATAAATTCATTGATAAAAATTAGTAAAATGTGAACTAAACCCTAAGTATTTGACAAAAAAAAAAAACTAAATCCTAAGTATGGTTCTATTGGATGGACCGACGATCGGTCCGGCTCCTCGGCCCTAGGACAAACGATCGGTCCGGTTCCGATCCTAGGACCAAGCGGTCCGGTCCCTACCGTCGACTTCCCGTCCCAAATTGGGCGGTTCTCGATCCGATTCGGTTCCACTCGGCCGGGCCAGGCAGAACCGATCACCCATAGTATACTCAATTCTATTCCCTTAGCTCAAAATCAAGGGGCCAGCCCCGTCACCCGCTCGAATCCCATCAATATATCACGTAAACTACTTTGCAAACCAACCCAAGTTTTTTTTTTTTTTGGTCTAGAAACCAACCCAAGTTACTACAACTACTAGTTAAAAAAAGGCGGCGCGTGGGGCGCAGACTCCGCGCGATCGCGTGAAGCATTCGCAACCGTCGACTTCCCTCCCCCCAATCGTTTCAACTGTTTCCCGAACCCACCTCCCACCAGAAAAAACCAAATCGAAACAAAACAAAACAAATAAACAAAAAATAAAGCAAAAATCCGTCCCTTTTCTTCGCTGCTAATTTATTTAAATTCCAAAGAAAAAAATCGAAAAAAATCCGAAAACCGCCTCCCCGGAAACTCCCATTTTCACCAGACCCTCCCGTCCCTCTCTCCTCCGTCCTCCGCCGGCGAAGATGGACCGCCACCGCCTCCTCCTCCTCCTCCTCCACGTCCTGGCGGCGATCGCCGTCACCGCCGCCGCCACCGCCGCCGCCGCCGACGGCGACACGATCTACGACCACCTCCGGCGCTACGGCCTCCCCATCGGCCTCCTCCCCAAGGGCATCACCGACTACGCCGTCGACCCGGCCACGGGCGAGTTCCGGGTCGGCCTGGCGCAGCCCTGCAACGCGCGGTTCGAGAACGAGGTCCACTACGACCTCAACGTCACCGGCACCCTCCGGTTCGGCGAGATCGGCGGGCTTTCCGGGGTGTCAGCCCAGGAGCTCTTCCTGTGGTTCCCGGTCAAGGGCATCCGCGTCGACGTCCCCAGCTCCGGCGTCATCCACTTCGACGTCGGCGTCGCCGACAAGCAGTTCTCCCTCTCCCTCTTCGAGTCCCCTCCCGATTGCACCGCCGCCGGGCCCGGCGGCGACGATCCCCAGCTGCTCTCTCTGCATGTCCAGGTTCGAATCACCTCTGCTCTTCGCTTCGCTAGTTCGTCCCCCAATTGGGGTTTTAGGGAGATTGCGGTGGTCGTGATTGCTGGGAAATTTGGGATGATCATCAGCGTTGCTGATCATTTCTGCACAGTTCGATGCGCTAGCCAGGCCGCATCTTTCAATTCCGGCATCTGTATTTAGATGGATGCCGGAATTTCTTCCCTTTCTTCGTCCAGTGAGGTGACCGCTTATGCCCTTTTGCTTGTCGGAGCTAAGGTGCATCGTGCTATTCTCTTTTGTTAATTTGGATGATTGATCGTCGTCGTTCTCATTGAGTTTGTGTGTGTGTGGATTCATAACCTCGGATTTTGTTAGAGAGGTGCTGGTGTTCACTTGGCATTTTATAGGTTTCTAAGTGGTTGTCATGGTGCTTCCCTTATGTGGTTTTGCGCATTCGCTGTAACTTTCTGGTAGCCTGATTAGCGCATTGCGTTTTCTTACTCCAAAGCATGGTGAATCTTGTCATAAAACTCTCTACAATTCTGTGTTTTTTGGGATTGCCCTTGGTGATTACGTAGTTTCGAGAGCAGATTAGTGTCTGCTCTCATCAATTGCTCTCTGGCGGCATGTCCGAGGCCACTTGAAATGCATGCTCTACATTGTATATTGGCTGTCTAAGCATCTTTTCCCTCTTGAGATCATTCATCAAACCAGCCTTGAAACGAGCCAATGTGTGACGAGTCCCACTACAAAGAATAAATCTTTATGCTTCACACCCAAAGCTTCCTATGCGTCCGGCCAAGGTTTTCTCAAGCATCACACCTAAGAGAAGAATTGCATCTCACAATCCCAAAGCAAAGAATTTTCAAATTGAAATAATTATCGACTCTATTCGAAAGAAAGAATTGCAACGGTATATATGGACTCTCTAAAGTACTTCTTTAAGTCAAAATAGGAGATCTAATAAATTCCAATAAAACTAGGAAAACAAATTTACCACAACTAGGAGAAAGAAACATTAAGTCCAATCTCAAATAAAATCCTGATAGAATCCAATCACTTAAGAATATTCCTCATTAATCAAGGAGAATAAATACCAAATCTTCATTGGGTGCGCCTTTTGTAAGTCTTAAAAGGTTGTCGCTATTGTTCTCCATCAAGTGTGAGGCGTAGCATTTTTTAAAAGCAAAAGTGTGAACTGCGAATGAAATTGTAATTCCATGTTATAGAAAGATAATGTCTTATTAATTTTTACCTGAGAATTGTTTTAACTGTCAAATTGCTTGGCATGAAATGCGTAATGGCTTGAGCACTTCCATTGAAATCACCTTTGACCCTGGAGATTTGGTCCTTGGCGTTGGGTCTTCTTTTTATGATTTCTACGTTTGTCATGTTCTATATAGATTCTTGTCTATCAGTTTGAAAGAGCTTGCTGATTTTGTGGGATTAGGTTACCCCCCAAGGGTGTAAACTTTGCGTTGTTTGATGCATTACTAGTCTACATAGTTCTATACATCACTTTTAGAGGTTAACTTTGCTGTTCCATTAATTTTTCCTATGTTTTTTTGATAAGGTGGTGGTAATGAATTAATATGTTTCTTCTTCTGGTTTTGTCAGGAGAGCATACTAAAGGCGGTCTCTTAGGTGGTGACCAGAATATGGGAACAATATATGATAGCTCAGTTGCTTATGGACCCGAGTTTGTGAGAAGTCTGCTTTGATAGGTCTATGCTTTGATGTACATGTGCTTAGTGCTTTCATGTGGACTTTGGGGCCGAATCTTTAAAAAAGGAATTGTGGCTATTTTTGCAAAGAGGAGAGAGAATGGGGTATGTAAAAATGAGGAGGAGATGGGGTCTGGTGATCTGGTGGTCCGGTCATTTCGTTTTGGCTTTAATAATGATTTCGGGGCTTAGCCTCTGTATCTTGTGATTAAACAGACAGGACAATATTATTCTCATGTCATCTGTATATGAGGAGAACTGTTGGTTCATTATAATTATCCACTAACATACGGTTTAGATTGGTTTGTATGGAAGAAACGGCTGCAATGTTTCTTTTGGGCTGTGACGGCTGTCCGGTATCATGCAATCATAGAGTTCTTTTAGCTACAGGTATATCATTGTGATTTAAAGATTTTACCCAAAAAAAGGTCTGATTTAAAGAAAAAAAGGTAGGAGGACGAGGACGAGGAGAAGCTACAGAACAGATTTATAATAGGTTGCTGCTCAAGCCCTCCAGCCGGCAATCTATACGTTCATAATTCTGAGGAATCTTCGCCATGTGAAGGTCCGGGTAAGTATGTAGTTCAAATTGAAATGCAAAAGACGGTAAGTGTTTCTCTTTTTACCAGTATGGGCTTCTACTATACAGATTTGATACTCGTTTCATGGCAATGACTGGTATAGTTCCTCCAAATCCAGACGCTAATAAGGATTGGAATACCAGTGGTGAGATTAAACCCCTCATTCAAACAATCGAACTTTGTGGAAGGAAGCAAATTAAAAGTTGTCGTCTGCCTGTAGCTGCATGATTGATACCTACCTGAACCGTTCTGTGCACCAGTGTGTATGGGGTCGAATCTGTGCGGTTCATCCCATGTTTCTCGTCTTTCTTGACCTCCCAAAGCCCATGCTCGGAAACCAGCATGTACTTATTTGGTGGGGCAATTGAAATGCAGTCCAATGCCAAAACTGGATTTGCTTCATTTGATAGATGTAGCAGACACTCTTATGCTTTGAGGTTGTATGACAGGGATAGAGTGAGCAGAATCGACCATATGATTCTTGTTAGCGTCCGATTCTTGCTTGCCTTCACTGAGCTGAGATCATCTTCTTTATCAGACATGATGTGATACAATTCATGGGATAACTGAGAGTATGTATATGAATGGAGTTTCACGAACCCAAGCTTCATTGTGATGTTCTTGGATCGATAAGAGACTCGTTACGAAGATTATAATAGCATTCTAATTTAGCAGCTATTGAAAGTGATATTCATATATACTGAACCCGAGCAATCGATAATCTTCTAAATTGCCCGTTCGGAATCGCCCTTTTTCTTTTGGAACATAGCATGACGGATCGTCATTTCGTAAGAAGATAGTAGTGCGACTCCAATTGAGAGACTTTTGGAATGTCTCTCATTTGACTTTGGACTTATTTTTCAAGTAGGAAAATTAGACGTTTGTCTAATGCTGATTTCCAATAGTAATCGAAGAATTATTTCAAGTTTGTCTACTAATACTACACGTGGTGTATATATCGATAATAAATGACATATAAATACGAGTTTTCTAGTCTCTGAAATCATCAACTAGGAATGCCAACATTTTGAGATCCTTGATAACAAATTTATACAAAGTTTTATGTTTGAATTTGACTGGAATTATTTTAAAATAAAATTATCCGTGCATAAAATAAAGTAAAGAGGACCTCATACTTTTAAGAGATATCGATCGTTTTTGTCCTTTTGAAATGTGCTCAATCACTCTATTCGTATTGTGTATTTTTATTAACTATTTTTTCTTCATTTGAACCTCAAATTGTATCCCATGAAGGGAATGCTCAGGTTGAAAAAACCACCTAATCATTCGATATTACAAATATTTCATAATAGGGTATTTTGCTTATCATGTAATAATATAGCTTTACGATTCATATTAGTGACGACACATATAACTTTTACAATATGGTCATAGTGTACTTCAAATATATAAATGAGGTAACATTCAATTTTTTTTTTGTAAAAAAAATTTGAGATTGAAATGATCATTGGATTTGCTTGATTAATAGGAAGATAAGAATTCATATGGGTTGAATTTTTTGAGGAAAAATAATTTAAGAAATGAAAAGGAACGTATGGCCAATAGGGCTTAAAATAGAATGGGAGGGCAGGGTCAGGGTGCCCGCCCATTGGGCCCAAAAGTAAAAGGGGCGGAACTTCTTGGACCCGTTTGACTTTGACCACAAAAGAAAAAAAATGAAGCAAAAAATACACACAAAAACTTTCTCTCAATTAGGGACGAACGGTTTTAGATTCCGTACAGATTCTACCCAGAACCTAGAACCTACCCATGAGAATAGGTTTATCATTTTTTTGGAATCTAGAACCTACGCTACATACTTTGGAACCTGGAACCTACCCTGTTTTAGGGTCGGTTCTAGGGTCTATCTAAGTTTCACATGTATTATTAATTGAACAATTGTAGTCAATCATCACCTTTAATGACCATCACTTGTTGTTACGATCAACTAACCACAACTTATATTTAGACACGCGAAGAATATGAAAATTAACAAGTTATAAAATGAAAGCTCAAATTATATATTACAGATTATACACTCATCATTAAACGCCATAGAACATCAGGATTACGCAAAGATATAGACCAAGTAAAAATACAAAAAAACTTGTTTAAGATTTCAGGTTTCAAGTTTCACCTAGAACCTCGAACCTACCCGTCAAAACATGTATCACAATTTTTGAAACCTGAAACTTACCCAACCTAGAACTTGCAGGTTTCTACTGATAAGGTTCTCAGGTTCTACCTCGGAACCATGCTCACCCATACTCTCAATGTTGTTGCCATCGATGTGTAGGCAATCGCTTGAAATTGAGAGATGCCCCTTGTCGGCGACAAATGGTGGAGCAACGAAGGTATTTGTGAATGGTTGAGACCGAAGGCATAGTCGCACCATTGCCCGTGGAATGGTGCTGACCGTGGTAGACAAATGGTTGTTCATATGTTAAAGATTTGGGATTTCGATTTAATGATGTGATAAGGTCACAGGCTACGAATCTATCCTTGAATGAATTATGGTATGATATATTTTTTAATTATTTTTTTGTCTTCCGGCGATTTTGTAAAAAATGTAATATGATGACAAGGTAATTTCTCATTTAAATTGTTCAATTCCTCATGAAATGATTTGTATTGATGGGAATGATCAAGACACGAAAATTGCACAGAAACTGCATGTCATGTATATACAAATCTTTTCAAAAGGAATTGATCAACAATATGTATATACAAATCTATTATAAGCATGCATAGGTCATATTCACACATCACGAGAGTTCATACATAAACTTGTTTGAAGTTCAAGCTAACACATCACCTGTCTATAAGGTCCTCAAACAAGGGGTGAGCGAAGATAGAACCTGGAACCTACCCATCGAAACTTGGAACCAAAAACTTACCCTGTCACAGGGAACCTGGAACCTACCCTGTCACAGGTTTCAAGGTAGGTTCCAAGGTCTAACAGGTTCTTTTTTATTTATTTCATTTTTAGTTAAACAAAACAAAAATGAACACAACAATATCGAACAAGCTTGTCATTTACCAAGGAGAATACAAAAGACTAGTTGTCCTGGTATTACGATTTAAATAAATACAATTAAAATGAGAAGTCATTGCATAAATCGATACTAAGGGTGAGTGGTTACATGTTTCATACAGGTTCCACCTATAACCTACCCATGAGAATAGGTTCCTCATTTTTTGGAATTTGGAACCTACCCTATCACATGTTCTAGGTTGGTTCCAGGGTCTACCCATGTTCCATCACTTGCTGTTTTGATCCACTGATCACAACTTATATTTAGACACACAAAAAATATAAAACATTAACAAGTCATAAAATGAAAGCTCAGACTAGTGGTTTCAGATTATACACTCATCATCTAATGCCATGAAACACCACAAGATCGCGTAAAGACATAGATCAAGAAAAAACACAAAAAACTTGTTTAGGTTTCAGGTTTCAAGTTCTAGATTCTAGGTTCCACCTAGAACCTAGAACCTATCCATCGAAATAGGTTCCCCAATTTTTGGAACCTGGAACCTACCCGGTATACCTTGGAACTTGGAACCTACAGATTTCAGGTTCCAGGATAGAACCTGGAACCATGCTCACCTCTACCTCAAACTTCCAACAAATTCAATGACCCTATCTTTACTTAGTAAATGATCAACTATCTCCGCTCTCAAACCGATTCTAACGCAACGAAATAGCTGATCAGCAATGGAAGGGAAATCACCTCCCGGACACCACCCTACAGAGATTTAAAAGAGAGTTAGATAATTAGCAATAGTTAATCATTCATTACAAACTCCAAGCAATTAAACCCAGCAACAGTAAAGTGTAACACGGTCTTTTAAATAAGAAAATGTAACTATAGAACAACATGGTTAATCAGAAAAATTGAGATGTAGAACTCACGCACTGTTGAGGACTTTTTCGTGCAATCCATATTTGTTTGTGTTACAAAGGAAGCAATGGCCTGTGGAATTGCCACCTATATAGAAAAAAAGTAATAATTAAGAAATTAAATGTGAAGTATATTTTGAAAACAAAACATGTTCGGGGAACTTAAGATAGTTGTTTATTATTAGTGAATAAACAAGACAAACTAAAGTCAACCTAAACGATGACAAAGTCGTGCAAGCCCACCACAAGAGAACATAGGGCCATAGTTGCAGGCCAAATTACAAAGCTCAACACCATGCCAAAAACTGCTGGTCTAATTCCACATGCCATAAGCTCATCTTGCATAGCTATGAATATCCCTGCATCCAAATGTACCATACACTTCCATTAATTGTCGAAATAGTAGTGAGTTCAAACAATGATGCTAAATTCATCTAAATCAAGAATTTTGGAATCGGTGATCGCCTAGCTTGGCGGCTGCGTACCGATGTCGAACACGGCCGTGCTCGTCTCTACTTTCGACAGGATCTCAATGGCACCTTCCATGATGCTCAGCATCTTAAATTTAAACTTGCAACGAATGTTGAGAATGTCACGTCTCAGCCAAAATCGTGACCCGTGGCTTACTGTACGATGTCCCATTCGTTATTATCTTTCTTTACAAGAAAGCAGAAGCATGAATTTGAGACAATCACAATCAGAACAAATAACGGGGTTAAGACAAGTATCATGAGCAAACCTTGTATTTACATGATAGCTTATATATTTTACAAGGCAAACCTTTTTACATGCCTCTTTTTTTTTACGGGCCGATTCACACACATATACCCGCTATGACAAACACGATTGGGTTATGACTAGCCCCGCTACTGTGGTTTCTTCCAAAAAGGTCCTCCACAAAAAAGTTCCTTCCCAAAAACTCGCTCGGTCATCCCCAAGTCCAGTCTGCCTCTTAGGCTCCATTTGCAGCATTCCCAGGTGTCGGTCCGTTGGCACCATCGAAAGGGCCATGAAACCCGCGAAGGAGTCCGAACAGTCCACCGTCCTCAGTCCATTCATACCAGGCTTCGTACCGGTGCGGAACAGGATTCTCAAGACCTTCGTCGACCATAACTTGGTATATGACCTTACGATAGGCTTTCCCTCCGGCGACACCAATTACATCGATTACATCTACTATCATTTTCACGGGTGTACCAAAGCGGACGGAGGAGCAGCCATCCTACAAGTCTGGGAAAAACAACGGGAAATGAGACATAGACTCAATAATTAAATCCTCTAATTTCAAGTTAGGAGGAAACAATCGTCGTCGGATACTTGTCCAACCTTACCGCCCCGGTGTCGATGACAAATCAATAGCAAAGATGCATTTACCTTGCCTATGTACTATCCATGGCACACGCTCCAAATAAGAGAACATCAAGCATGGTACTTAAGCGATGCAAGCAAGAACGATTGTGACGTCCCAGGTCGTCACCACTAACGACAAAGGGTCAAATAATCCATATACGCATGCGGAAGCTATTAATATTTACGAAACAAGAATGTAAAGTATCTTTTACTGAGAAACATACACAAACGCACGCTAGTAAATACCTTTATATATATGTATACAAAGTTAGAGTTAGGGTACAGGCGAACTAACTATACAAATATACAAATCAAAAGATAAGTCGCCCTTGGGAGGTTAGGTACACTACTCCACCTACACAACCACTCCCAAATGCTCCCCTACTCCAACAACTATACGACCCTATCCAAAAAGGTCCGTCATTCGGGTCGTGCTACCTCAAAAAGTCGTCCATCTGGTCGCCCAACTACTCCTCTATATCAGGATCGTTGTCCGACCCTGAGTCTAAGTCAGTATCCAGAAATGGAAGCCGTCCCCAAAGCTGTCCCTGGCAGCGAATATACAACGCAATGAAACGGTACGAATCTAACCCTGGCGCAAAGCCTACGTCAACCCACAACGTGGACACAAACTTTTCAAAAACAACATTCGGAAACTCAGGAAAAGTCATGTCCTCCCAATGGAACGTAAAATCAACAGGGGTTCCATAACGAGCGCTATAGGTGGCGGGAGGAACGGATGACATATCTACTAATCTGAAAAGATAAATAACCACAGGAGTAAGCATAAAGCTTAGCAAATAGATATCTAAAACATCGACAACACGAATTATCAAATCACCACAAGATGTAAACATCATTTATGAGAGGAATGATGCAAATGCAATAAATGGGTGCGGTGCATGTTGTATGCCGTTATTATTCCAGTTCTCTCATCAAATATCCACCCCGTATCACGGTTACATCGGCCACAGACACCCGTGCGGGTAACTTCCAGTAGCAAACCGGACTTCCATGGTATACCAACCACAGGCATTTCACTCCGAGGCATCGTCAGCACGCAGACCGACGGCATCCAAGCCTTCCATACTTGGGCATCCCGATACTCCCACGAGGCATCATCGGCGCGCAGACCGATGGTCCTCACCATTCATTTTCACATGATGCACATGAAGCAATGCACGTAAGGCATCGTCAGAGATCCCCCGTCTGACGATCCTCACCATCCATTATCACACAATTATGATATGATGAATGCAAATGATTCTAACAGAAGCATATGAATAACAATCCCCATGTGGGGCATATTAAACCAACCGAGACACCAACGATACTATCCAAAGCACAGGCAATATAACAACATTGTGCACAAAATCACCATCTCATATAAACTATCCTTCATCACACGATTCAGCTGACGCGAGACCACTCGTCGCCATCCATGGGCTCGGTCACCACCAATGTCGGCCTACGACACAGGCATTCCTCACGCCTCCATCCCACATCATGAGCCACCCTCGCGCTACATTCTATTCCGCGGCCACCACGCGCCGTTAAGCGGTTCGGCTCAACGCAAACCACAGCTGCCCTTATCAACTCCTTCCAACCATTCAAACTCACCACGTGTAATCCCGACACTCGAACAACACCAAAAACGACTAGAAAATCAAAGGAACATAGTAAAAATTTCATCATCCCACTTACACATAACCTTAACATGTCTCGTTCGAGCCATCCAAGCTCGTTTTCAACGATCCGTCACCATCACACGATATCCCGACACCCGTACGTCCTCGGGAAACCAAAAAGTCAAAGACTTTCCGAACTTTTCAACTCGAAACCCAAAACCCATCATAAAAGGCCAAAAACCATTTATCTCGGGCGAAAAGACGAACGCGAAGTCGAGAAATTAGAATCTACTTGCCTCGAGGATGATCTTGTCGAAGAATCGTAGAAAGTCGAGCCGATTTTCCTCTTGCGTGGCCACGATCCGTCCAAAATGAAGAAGAAAGAAGAAGAAGAAGAAGAGAAGAAGAGAAGATGGAGAGAATGAAGAGAGAAAAGAAAGAAGCTTGCTAAAAAGGAATTTCGGACAGAATATTCCTTGAATACTCTGATTATCTTTTTTTTTCGAATTTTTTTTTTCTACGCCAATATGGAATGACACCAAAAATCATGATGTCACAAATCTCCCCACCTTTGGAAATTTCGTCCTCGAAATTTGAAACATTAACTGATGATTCAAATAGATATGGATATTAACGCCTCATAATTTCTTCACTCTCCCATGTTGCCTCTTCTGTATCATGATGCTGCCACAACACTTTCACTGACCGAATGACTTTATTTCTCAAAACTTGCTCCTTTTGATCCACTATACGCACTGGCCTTTCCACGTACTTAACTTTCTCGCCCACTTCAATCGTCTCATAATCTAGAATATGAGTTGGGTCAGGTTGATACTTCCGTAGCATCGACACATGAAACACGTCATGGACGTTAGACAATTTTGGCGGTAAAGCCAACCGATAAGCCAATTCTCCTATTTTCTCCAAAATTTCAAAAGGTCCAATGAATCTAGGGCTCAATTTTCCTTTCTTTCCGAATCTTGACATACCTTTCATCGGCGATACTTTCAAAAATACGTGATCTCCCACATTAAACTCTAAGGGTCTTCTATGCCGATCTGCATAGCTTTTCTATCGACTTTGAGCAGTCTTAAGCCTATCTCGGATTATTTTCACCGCGTCGATTGTGATCTGTACTAACTCCGGTCCTGTTAAACTTCGTTCGCCAACCTCGTTCCAACAAACAGGTGTTTTGCTAGTCCTTCCATATAGCGCTTCGTATGGCGCCATGCCAATAGTTTGCTGGTAACTATTATTATAAGCAAACTCTACCAGATGCAGTTTCTCTTCCCAACTACCTTTAAAATCAAGAATGCACGCTCGCAGCATATCTTCTAATATTTGAATTACCCTTTCCGACTGTCCGTCCGTCTGAGGATGATAAGCAGTGCTAAATTGAAGCTTTGTTCCCAAAGCAATCTGAAGACTTTTCCAAAAATTCAAAGTAAACCTTGAGTCTCTGTCGGACGTGATAGTCACAGGCACCCCATGGAGTCGCACGACCTCCTTGATATATAACTCTGCATACTTCTCCATTTGATAATCCGTTCATACCAATAAGAAATGAGCAGACTTAGTTAAACGATCAACTATCACCCAAATAGCATCGTGATTCCTTGGCGTCCTTAGCAGCCCTTGCACAAAGTCCATCGTGATGTGTTCCCACTTCCACTCAGGAATTTTTAGCGGTTTTAACATACCCACCAGTTTACGATGCTCCGCCTTTACTTGTTAGCATGTCAAACAGCTTGATACATGCTTTGCTATATCACCCTTCATTCCGTTCCACCAGAAATACTGCCGCAGGTTTCGATACATTTTCGTATTCCCCGGATGAATACTGTAGCCACTCCGATGTGCTTCGGATAGAATTTCTTTTCTTAATTCTTCATTCTTTGGCACGCAAAGGCGTCCCCGAAAACTTATGATGCCATCTTCTGATACTTGGAAATCCGATTTCTTTCCCCTTAACACTTGCTCTCGAACCTTCATAATTTCAAGGTCCGATGATTGTAGTTCCTTGATTCTTTTTATTATCTCAGGCTCAATTCAAAGTGTAGCCATGAGATTTGCTAACTGGTCCACTTCAAGTCTGTACTCGGAGTTGGATATTTCCTCGAGTAAATTCCATTCTCTTACCATCATGCTTGCTACCATCGTAGACTTCCTACTTAGAGTATCTGCCACCTTATTCGCTTTCCCCGGATGAGAGAGAATCTCATAGTCATAATCTTTTAGTAATTCCATCCACCGTCTCTATCTCATATTCAACTCCTTTTGTGAGAACAAATATTTTAAACTTTTATGATCAGTATAAATCTCAAACTTTTCTCCGTACAGATAATGTCTCCATATCTTCAAAGCAAAAATGATCGCCGCAAGTTCGAGATCATGTGTCGGATAATTTAACTCATACGGCTTTAATTGTCTTGAAGCGTAAGCGATCACCTTCCCGTGTTGCATTAGAACACATCCAAATCCCTTATGAGAAGCATCGCTATATATCACGAATCCCTCCGATCCTGAGGGTATTGTCAAAATAGGTGCCGTTGTTAACTTCTGTTTTAATTCTTGAAAACTAAACTCACACTCCTCGTTCCATTTGAATTTGGCGTTCTTTCGAGTGAGTTGAGTTAAAGGACCAGCTAGACGAGAAAATCCTTCCACGAATCTTCGATAATACCCTGCTAGTCCTAAGAAACTTCGTATCTCCGTCACTGTCGTTGGTCTCGACCAATTAATCACGGCTTCGACCTTAGCCGGGTCTACAGAAATTCCATCAACTGTTACAACATGTCCCAGAAATTCTACACGATCCAGCCAAAAGTCACATTTGCTAAACTTTGCATATAACTTATGCTCTCTGAGTGTCTGAAGCACACTTCTCAGATGCTTTTCATGCTCTTCCGGTCCTTTTGAATATATCAAGATATCGTCAATGAAAACTATTACAAACCGATCTAAGAACGGCTTAAACACCCTATTCATTAAGTCCATAAATACAACATGTGCGTTAGTCAAACCAAATGGCATGACTAGGAACTTGTAATGGCCATATCGAGTCCTAAAAGCCATCTTAGGAATATCCTCCTTCTTGATTCGCAACTGATGATATCTCGACCTTAGATCAATCTTTGAGAACACAGAGGCTCCTTGCAATTGATCGAATAAGTCGTCAATTCTAGGCAACGGGTACTTGTTCTTGATTGTCACTTGATTCAATTACCTATAGTCGATACAGAGACGCAAAGATCCATCCTTCTTTTTCACAAATAATACATGAGCACCCCAAGGTGACGAACTTGGTCGTATAAATCCTTTATCAAGCAATTCTTGTAATTGCACCTTTAACTCTTTTAACTCCGCCGGGGCCATATGATAAGGAGCCTTTGAGATTGGTTCCGTTCCAGGTGCGAGTTCATTCACAAACTCTATTTCTCGCTTTGGTGGCAATCCTGGTGACTCTTCCGGAAAAACATCAGAAAAATCTCGAATCACTAAAACTTCCTCGAGTTTCACTTCTTTCTTGGATTGATCCTTTACTACAGCTAGATGTCCTTGGGCACCCTTTTCAAGAAGCTGATAAGCCTCCAAAGCAGAAACGAAAGCTACTGGAAGGTTGGTTCCACTTCCATTAAAGCTTGGTTGGTTAGAAGGGTTAAACTTAATCACCTTCTTGTAACAATCCACATTGGCTTGCTACTTACATAGCCAATCCATTCCTATGATGACATCAAAATCATACATTGCCAAAACTACTAGATCTATCGTCTGACTCTGCTCTCCTATGGAATCTTACAGTTAAAACAAGCTAGAGTAGACAAAACTTCATCCTTCAAAGGTGTGGCAATGCTAAAGGGTACCTCAAGCAATTCAGGCTTTAATCCATAAAGTCGAACAAACCGTGCAAACATGAAAGAATGTGTTGCACCAGTATCAAACAAGCCATAAGCCTTTTTATCACATATGGAGAGCGTACCTGATATTACGGTCTTGGAAGCCTCTGCTTCTTCTTGCGTGACAGTGTAAACCTTCCCTTGAGCTGGCGGTCTTTGCATATTCCCTTGTCATGGTGTTTCACCCGAAGCCAGCTGTTGCAGTTGTCGTATCGGTATGTAACGAGTCCGTTGTCCTACTCGAGGACAATCCCTACGAATATGACCCTTCTGGCCACACTCATAACATATCTTTGACGCCATGCATGGTAAATTCCCATGTGCTTTTCCACACTGTCGACACAATTCATTCAAAGGTTGTTCACGATACAATGACTGATTATTTCCAACTCCGAAATTCACAAAGTTTCGTCTTTTATTCGGAGTAAACGGATGTCTCCCAAATTGAAACGGTCTTTTGTCTCGTCTATCATTAGTGCCTTGCAGATTCGACCTTGATTGTTGTCCCATTTCTGCTCTCTCCTTCAGTAATTCCTGCTCCACCAATTGAGCTCGCTCATACAGTTCATCATAATTCTTTAGATTAAAAGGCACCAATTGTTTCCTAATATCTTTCCTCATACCATTCAGGAACTTTCTAGCTTTATCTTCTCGATTTTCAACCAACCGAGGAGCATACCTTGACAGTTCTAAAAATTTAGCCTCATACTGATCCACTGTTAAATTGCCCTAGATCAGCTGCATGAACTCCATCATCTTCTTTTCTTTGGCACTTTCAGAGAAATATTTTCCAGTAAAGGCATCTACAAAACCTCTCCAAGTAACTTCCCCACCTACCGGAAATACCGTACCTTTTGACGCCTCCCACCAATGTTGAGCATTTCCTTCCAATTGATATTCTACCAGTGTAACCTTATCAGCATCATTACAGCGCAAAAGATTGTAAATCTTCTCCATTCTAACTATCCACCTATCCGCCTCACTTGGATCTCCATTACCAGCGAAGTGAGTCGGCTTCAACTTCAGAAATTGCTCAACTAGTCCTTATATACGGCGGTCATCACCACCTTCTACCGCTGCCTGTTGTTGAGCCTGCCTTTCAAACAGAGCTCCCACATTCACCAATGCTTGTAGAATTCCATCCACCCGTGGATCCATAGATGGTGGTGCATTTGCTCCCCCGAAAGTTCCTGTTCCATTTGAATTTCCAGCTCCGCCTGAAGTTCCTGCCACTCCTGAAGTCCCTGCTTCGCCTGTTAGTTCTATTTCATTCACACGTCGTGTCCTGTCAAAAGTTCTTGTTCCTATTGCTCTTCTCATCCTGAACTACTCAGCACAACGATCATCCATCACTATAGATGACCAATGTTATTAACCAACTCATAAGTAACAAATGTTACTAAAGCCCGTTAGTAACACTACCACATCACACAAGTAAGGGGCACGTCACTTATTCTCCTAGCTCACAACAACAAGCACACACATATATAGCACTTTAAATCGCGCACGCTTATCCTAACTACTCCACTGGCGTACCTTATCACTCCAGGGTAAACCTATGCTTTGATACCAATCAAAGCGGGGCTGTGACGTCCCAGGCCGTCACCACTAACGACAAAGGGTCAAATAATCCATATACGCATGCGGAAGCTATTAATATTTACGAAACAAGAATGTAAAGTATCTTTTACTGAGAAACATACACAAACGCACGCTGGTAAATACCTTTATATATATGTATACAAAGTTAGAGTCAGGGTACAGGCGAACTAACTGTACAGATATATAAATCAAAAGATAAGTCGCCCCAGGGAGGTTAGGTACGCTACTCCACCTACACAACCACTCCAAAATGCTCCCCTGCTCCAACAACTATACGATCCTATCCAAAAAGGTCCGTCATTCGGGTCGTGCTACCTCAAAAAGTCGTCCATCTGGTCGCCCAACTACTCCTCCATATCAGGATCGCTGTCCAACCCTGAGTCTGAGTCAGTATCCAGAAATGGAAGCGGTCCCCAAAGCTGTCCCTGGCAGCGAATATACAACGCAACGAAACAGTACGAATCTAACCTTGGCGCAAAGCCTACGTCAACCCACAACGTGGACACAAACTTCACAAAAATAACATTCGGAAACTCAGGAAAAGTCACGTCCTCCCAATGGTACGTAAAATCAACAGGGGCTCCATAACGAGCGCTATAGGTAGCGGGAGGAACGAATGGCATATCTACTAATCTGAAAAGATAAATAACCACGGGAGTAAGCATAAAGCTTAGCAAATAGATATCTAAAACATCGACAACACGAATCATCAAATCACCACAAGATGTAAACATCATTTATGAGAGGAATGATGCAAATGCAATAAATGGGTGCAGTGCATGTTGTATGCCAGTTATTATTCCAGTTCTCTCATCAAATATCCATCCCCATACCACGGTTACATCGGCGCGCAAACCGACCCGTGCGGGTAACTTCCAGCGCGCAGACCGGACTTCCATGGTATACCAACCACAAGCATCTCACTCCGAGGCATTGTCAGCGTGCAGACCGACGGCATCCAAGCCTTCCGTACTTGGGCATCCCGATACTCCTGCGGGGCATCATCGGCGCGCAGACCGATGGTCCTCACCTTTCATTTTCACATGATGCACATGAAGCAATGCATATAAGGCATCGTCAAGGATCCCCCGTCTGACGATCCTCACCATCCATTATCACACAATTATGATATGATGAATGCAAATTATTCTAACAGAAGCATATGAATAACAATCCCCATATGGGGCATATTAAACCAACCGAGACACCAACGATACTATCCAAAGCACAGGCAATATAACAACATTGTGCACAAAATCACCATCTCATATAAACTATCCTTCATCACACGATTCAGCTGACGCGAGACCACGTCGTCGCCATCCATGGGCTCAGTCACCACCAACGTTGGCCTACGACACAGGCGTTCCTCACGCCTCCATCCCACATCGTGAGCCACCCTCGCACTACATTCTATTCCGCGGCCACCACGCGCCGTTAAGCGGTTCGGCTCAACGCAAACCACGGCTGCCCTTATCAACTCCTTACAACCATTCAAACTCACCACGTGTCATTCCGACACTCGAACAACACCAAAAACGACTAGAAAATCAAAGGAACATAGAAAAAATTTCATCATCCAACTTACACATAACCTTAACATGTCTCGTTTGAGCCATCCAAGCTCGTTTTCAACGATCCATCACCATCACATGATATCCCGACATCCGTACGTCCTTAGGAAACCAAAAAGTCAAAGACTTTCCGAACTTTTCAACTCGAGACCCAAAACCCATCATAAAAGGCCAAAAACCATTTATCTCGGGCGAAAAGCCGAACGCGAAGTCGAGGAATTAGAATCTACTTGCCTCGAGGATGATCTTGTCGAAGAATCGTAGAAAGTCGAGCCGATTTTCCTCTTGCGCGGCCACGATCCGTCCAAAATGAAGAAGAAAGAAGAAGAAGAAGAAGAAGAGAAGAAGAGAAGATGGAGAGAATGAAGAGAGAAAAGAAAGAAGCTTGCTAAAAAGGAATTTCGGACAGAATATTCCTTGAATATTCCGATTATCTTTTTTTTCGAATTTTTTTTTCTGCACCAATATGGAATGACACCAAAAATCAGGATGTCACAACGACACATGGGAATCATTTATTCTTAAACCGAAATCCATCGGTTCTTCCAAAATACATCGTGCATCTGAAATCTATCGGGCAACGACTCGAAATCCATCGTAGATGGCTTTAGTCCCTCGTGTGTCCATGCATTACAATCATCAAGCAAACCGTGTTCTTATCTTTCTTTAGTAGCCATACAAACAATATTACCCGAAGGCATGGGTGCAAATGTGAAACTCATGAACAATGATCTTAAATCACCTAATATGTCGGCCACAGTCCAGGGCCCGTGACTTGATCCGACACGCAAAGCATTGAACAAAACCATACTTAGCTCGGATCCGATACGTCTCAATATCGAACCTTTGCCAAGCGAGTCTTGATCTAAACGCCATAACGTGCGTACAAGACATACGTTCCCTCTTTTGCAACCGAGTCGTGTCTTGACTTATGCATAAGACTCATGCATAAAATATGCAAGTAACATATAAATAGGCAAACATCAAACAAGACCCAAACACGGATCGGGTAAGAACACTAGCCAATAACGTATCGTGACATCCTATCCCGAGATTAGAAAATCTACTTACTCTACTCGACAAAAGCGAGATTTAGTGGGGATCAAGAAAGTGGCGTGAGGGAGAAGGTGGTGGTCGGCCAAGTGGGTAGGCATGAGAGAGGGTGAGTGGCGTGGGCAAGGCCGAATGGTGGGGTAGAGGAGGCGTGAGAGTTGGTGATGGTGTAAGGAAAAAAGGGGGACTAAGTGGGGACAAGAGCTATTTATAGTATGGTCCACTAATGTCCTTTACAAAGAAAGAGCCAAAATCTAAGCTAATAATGAGAATGGTTTTGAAAGTCTTTGACCATCATTAGTCTTCCTCTTCAAGCTTTCAGTGAGAACCATATATTGCTAACTTGGTTTCCAAGTCGCTAATCTAGAGTCATTATACCCTACAAGTCATCATGGCTAAAGTTCTCATAATGGTATTTCTTGACTTTGGCTTGGCTTCTTCCTCTTAAGCGTGAATCACTCCCTCCCCTTGGCTTGGGCGTGTATCCTTGGTCTTGGTCTTCAAGACACACAATTATTGGTGTCTTCTCCAAGACATTCCATTATTGGCCTTATCCCTATTATTGGTGTCTTCTTGAACAAGCTCTATTATCGACAGCTTACAAAGGAAGTTGTCCATTTGTCTTCTAGTCCCTAAAATCCTCCTTAGGCGTGAATCACTCTCTAGGTTCCACAATTATTGGCTCATGCAAGACAAACTCTATTATTGGCCCATGCTTCTATTATTGGTGGTTAGGTTTCATTATTGACCAACTTATCCAAGAAGTTGTCAATAATGCAACTAATAAGTCAAGTCAATTTGTCTTCTTGTTCCAAGAAGCATTCTAGGTGTGAACCATGTGGCATTATCAAGAAACATTCAATAATTGTGGGTCTTTGCTAGTTCTAATGCCACCTCCTCCTTTGGCTACCAAATGTTCACTAAAACTTGACTCAATGAGGAACTAAGGTGATTAGGGGTTTTAAGTGCCTCAAACGATCGACCATCCTATTTGGAACCGAGGTTCGGTGTAAAACTATATCCAAGTATAATCGGACACAACCGAACCAATGATCGGCCTGAACAACGCAAGGCCGGACTAGCCAAACTGACCTAGCACAAGGCCTATTCAGTCGCGTTTGACCGAGCGCGGGGCCTAGCACACGGGCATAGGGCCAGGCACACTACTAGGCCATACAGGCATCGGACTAGCTACACAGGCACAGTACCGGGTCGCATGGACGGTGCGCCGAGCGTTTGGCTGGGCTGCACGAGCGGGAAGCCGGTACATGGTCCATACACAGGCATTGGCTCACGTCCAAGCACAATGCATGGCCCGTGGCCAAGTCTAGTTGGTACGAAACTAGGTCTGGGCCGAAACTGATGGGCACAAGGCCTGGCACACAGCTGGGCTCAAGGCCGGTCCATGGCCTGACTAACAGGCATACGACTAGTCCATGGTCGGGCACAAGGCCTGGCTTGCACGACCGGCACAAAGCCTGGTCCGCGATTAAGCCACTAGGTTCTTAACTTGGTACATGGCACGTCCATGGCCTACCCGACTCAACACAATGATGCATGGCCAATTCGCGACCGATCCATGTTCAAGCATCAACGATCCATGGTCGACCCTTGGTTGTCATGTAGCCGCGTGGAATCGAACACAACGGAATCGGTCTATGGACGCCCGCGACCTGTGCATGGCCATGTAGAATCACCCGCGACCGACACATACATGTACGGCATCAATACATGGCCACCCAGGATCGTTTTACTATCGACCCTTATGGTAGAGCGATCGATCCATGGTCGAATTACTCTAATCAACTTGCGTGATTGGTGAGTCTTTTCACTGTCGATCCCTTGCCCACTCCATAGATGATTCTTCGATCAAACCATGATCAATCCTTTAGTTACCCGTTCCAACCATACCATCCCATCCATGACCGACCCTCGGATCGATCTGCTCGACAATTCCTTGGCCATTTTCCCTTAGTTGTCTCGGTCCAACTAGGGGATGTTACATTTCTCTCCCCCTAATAAAATTTCGTCCTCGAAATTTAAACACATACCTGGTTCCTCAAACAAATGTGAATACTAACGTTTCATGATTTCCTCACTTTCACAGATCGCTTCTTCCGTTCCATGGTGACGCTATAAGACCTTTACTATAGGAATGGCCTTATTTCTTAGCACTTGCTCTTTCTGGTCCACGATCCGCACTAGCTCCTCTTTATAAGACACTCTGCTATCTATTTCGACCTCGTCGAAATTTAGCACATGTGCCGGATCGGGCTCATACTTTCTCAACATCGATACATGGAACACATCATATACCTGAGCAAGTTTCGGTGGCAATGCCAACCGATAGGTCAAATTTCCTATTCTTTCTAAAATTTCAAATGGTCCGACGTACCTGTGGCTTAGCTTCCCTTTCTTTTCAAAGCGTGACACACCCCTCATGGGTGATACTCTAAGGAAGACATGATCGCCT